TAATCAATGTTTTCTATGTTCAAATATTTGTTTTTAATAACATAAACTATGAGTAAGACATAAAGTACTTATATTTTAAATGTCGGTGTTTTATATCAATTTAAAAAAAAAACAGTTTATAAAATAATCATCGATATACTTTAAATACCCATAAGATATCGAAAAAAATGCCTTGGAAGAATTAATGGTCGTTTCAGAAAAAAAAAAACGAGGAAAATGAAAAAATTACGTCAAAACACCAATAAGATATAATTTACTTTCAGAAAAGATGGTACACTTGAAAATTGAAGCTAGATTTCTGATAGAAAAGTTTTTAACAGTCAGAAAAATAAACACATCATCATACCTAATAAAAAGTAAAATCAAACTCCCTACATTTACAATCTAAAAGTTATAGGTATACATTTTTTTTTTTTTATAAGTGGCTATACAATTTGTCGCTCTAAAATGTTGCCAATCACCTAGCTGCTTGTACTGCTTAACCTAAACCTAACAGGTACAAGTTTTTCGATACCTATTCATTATTATAATAATGTATTATATTATGATATGTTTTTAAGCCCTCATAGCCAGCATGTAGGTATATAGATATCTACAATGAATTATTATTATAAATCTATACGAACAATAATTATGATAAATTTTATTGGCATACCTATATATTATAGGTACCTAAATACCTAATTATATTATAATATTTAGAATACACGAGATAAAATTTAAAATTTAAATAATATTTACACAAGGCGTATAGTATTATATAGGTCGTTCAATTAAATTTATCTACACTACGATTATTTGAATAATTTAAATTCAACGTAGATACTACATTATAATACCTTTATAATATTATATACCTACTATAATGTAGTGTTTTAATGCGTATATATGTTGAACTTAATACTTATAATATTCATATATGTATAAGTAGTAATTACTTATTGGAACACGTGCATACCTATATAGGTATTTATATTTATACAGCTGGTCGGCGACCGTGGTTCGAATCGATCGAACTTGCAAACTTGTCGACATGTCCATTAGGTAGGTACCATATTAACTATATTTGCATTTAAAACGGTTATAGTAATAATAGATGTGTAATATGTATCTACAGGCTATAATATACTTAAACATAAACGTATGTATAATACTATAATGCAAATTGGTAAATGTAGTATATTAAATACCTACACGCGCATCTAACATTGGTAAAGACATCTATAGTACAGTGCCTACTGTTTTTTTTTTAGGAAATGTTTTATTTTCATAAAAACTGTTGATTGTTGATCCATCTACAATCACTGACTTCAAATTACATTACTCGATAGAATTTACTCAAGGGCTACGGTTAATTATTTAAATCATTTTTGATAAATTTGAATTAAATAAGTTGTGAGTGGCTCTCTGTATGTAGTAAAAATATATGGAGAATACCATCCTAGGTTAGATAAGTCAGTATACCATTTTTGGTTGTTGTTTATGCCAGTGACTAAATCACACCACGCCACTGTTAGAATTAGTTATATAGCGTTTACATTAAAAAAAAAGTTTAAAATTAGTCTATTATTACATTATTTCGATATTTTATAATCAGAAACCGCAATATAAGATATAATATGAAAAATGTGGACTTGGTTAAACATAGATACCACGGCTAGATACAGTTATTGACGTAAGCGACAGAAGTCGAATGATTACGCCATTATCGCCACTCGACCATGTCGCTTATAACTTAACGCTGTCGACAAATTCAATATTACCAGATGTTCTTTGACAAAATGATGCACTGTGGTCGCTTACACCGTTTTACCGTTGATAAAGTCGATTTTTCAATATGAAACGGGTTATCGTTTTAGCCTAAAATATCGCTTACCTCTATACCCACGTCCATTTGTCTGTTTTAAGACTCAATACTTGGCTCGACATACATTTAGACCCGGAACCATACTATTATTATGCATTTTATAACAGAATTAACGCATTGTACGTCTTCACATGACATCATTATTACACTCTATACAAACGGCGAACGTCGTCGTGACTTTTAGATGAAATACGATATGCTATAATTCGATATGATGTGTATACACTATAATACATATATTATTATAAATGCATCTGTTATAGGTACGTTTTAGCATTGGTTATAAATACTACAAATAATATTTATACAAATATTACAAATATATACAATATTTGTACAAATAATATTTATACTATAGTATAAATACTAATAATAGTATTTATATAATTAATGGTTTTAGATATCGATCACAATACGATTTACTTTAACCAAATGTTTAATACGTACTTCCCCCCCCCTCTATTCAATTGTTAGTATTTTTCCTTCGCAAATATTTAATAATGTGTAATTTTTAAATGAATTTGCATGTCCAAACCCAGAATTTAAACGACACACGCCTACCCAGGGTAATCAAAATAAAAAAAATAAAAACATATCAGAAACGCTCGACTAGGCTGAATAGTGTAGAACGGCCATAAATAAGTACAGTTTGTACAGTATTATTATTATATGCGACGTGTCAGCGTTATAGTATAGTATACAGAGTATCTCGCCGTGTTCGACAGATTTTTGTTGAATGTTAGGAATGAAAATGGCTGTTACTAAAAAAAATGTTGCTCGTATATGAATGCGTACATGATGCATTGCAATTTGTTGAACAATATCATTTACAAAATGGCTACTTTAAAAAATTTTAAAGTAAATAAGTAAAAAGGGTATATCGTTTTAGCGATTAGGGGATAAAATAAAAAGTTTAATCTCTCTTTAAAATAGATATACCCCTCATAACAAAGCAGATTGAAAAAAAATATTGAATATTTACTGTAGCTTAGGAAAATCCGTTGGACACGCCGGGACACTCTGTATGTGTTACGGAATATAGCAATGTTTGTATATTATTATTACCTATACGTGTAATATTATATTCTCGACGACGGCAAAAAAAGAAAGAAATGCGGTGATAACTTATACACACACAAACCGCTTTTTAAACGTAATATTTATTCATACATATATATTTATACCCATTACCTATTATATGGCTATATATTATTATAACTGCGGCTGTGTATCGGAATATTCGCAGACTCGTGAATGGGGTACCCCACAATATTGTGTTAGACTCGCGTAGGCGGCTCGAGTCGACCCGATTTCCGTCTCTCCTTCTCGCTGTATAGCATCGGTCGGTGCCGCTGAGTCGAGGAAATAATTGTCTACATAAAATATTATATTGTACAATATTGTCCGAGAGTCGGTGGATATGTTCAGCCCGCACAGATATTTTCAACGGCGAATGTGCCACGAATTACAAAATTGTCAGATGTCTGATGTAGTTGAATACAAAATGAAATGAAACCCAATTGTCATTATCTATATATATACGGGCGAATATTTGATATTTTTAACAATATTGCATAACACATCGTCGGCCTGTAGACTAGCAACGGCCAAACGCGGCTTTTTCAGGAGAGGCGGAAAAACAATTTCTCCCGTTAAAACGAATATACGGTTTTGGTTGATACGTTCTTCCTCTGGTTCTAAGCCGACGATATATTTTATCTGTATAGATTGTGGCCAGTGGAGTGCGCATGGATACAGAGGTTAGATGTTATATCCCCTATTGACTTAAAAATACATTAACTATGAGTATTTATTTAGTAATTTTACCTAGAAATTATATATTTCAGTTGAGTTACAAGGAAAAAGATGAATTTATTGAATATAGATTTGCTATTTTTGGATCTGGCTTTTAAATTTTCATTTTCGGGTTAGGTATAACAGAAGAAGATTCTATGAATCGATGATTATTGATTATTACATCCACTCTCATTTTAAATTCCTGGACACTGCACTGAATCTATTGATATGGGATACATAGGTTAGTAGGTACCTATACTGAATCAAAATTATTTTTTCATTGTTTATCATCCAGTTATTTAATTAGCCCTCGGAAATGATGTCCGCTCTATAAAAACTGATGACATATATCGTACGAAATCGCATTACATAAGAAAAAATAATACGTAACACTTATCATGTATGAGCAAGAGGAGAAAAAAAGGTCTTTCGCTTTTATTAGGTAATAAAAACGTCATGTATAGGTACAGTGTTATGAAATATCTTTATTAGATTTTATTGTTCATTTTTAGCCCGACAATATTGTTTCTGCTTCAGTCCCCCGTCCACCAAATTAAAAACACCATTTGCGCTTGTGGATGGTTCTAACGTACCTATTTCTTTTTTTTTCTGTAGAATTAAATTTTCTTGACATTTTAATTATGTAAATTTAAAAAAAAAACAAACTATGTCATTATAACTGTATAGTTTGATTGTAGATGTAATTTCCTCCCTTCAACGATGAACTAAACGCAGATCGTTGTAATACGGTTTGTTTTATAATATTATGATGATAAATAGGTATACCTCGTATAATTTGTTTACACAAATATTAAATACAATCACTTTTACTCAGTTTATAAAATAACAACACATTTAGTTCTAGGCAACCTACCAAGTACAATTATAGGTCTTCCTCCTAAACAGATGACGACAATGATAAATGACTCGACTGTGGAAATGCATGAACATTTAAAAATTACACAAATCCGCAAAACAACTATTATAGGTACCAGCTATTATAGCCACACACGCCAATAATTATTATTATAGGGAAACCAGCCCACTTGGACATTTAAGAGTAGGTTTTACCTAATCTGATGATATTATTATTATCGTCAATTTGTCAGTAATAACATTTTGCATTATGTATCTACCCACTACACCAACTATAGATATATACCTATTAACTCACGGTCGTAAACGATGATAATAGGTTTTTGTAATCTTGCAAAAATGTCTCGAAACAATTTGTTTGTTTTTCCGAGATAATAAGATGGGCGGATATGTAAAAATACGATTTGAACAAAACACGAAATTCCCCTCTTGTCATTTGGTTCTATGCAGGGGTTAGCGTCGATAACACAGCGACGGCTCTGTATAGTCGCCTCCTTCGCAATATTCACTTGATCGTGCGTGTATTATAGTCGCGCAACAGTCGCATGTACACGTCCGTGAAACACGTACCCACAGCCGGCGTGTATTTCAGCAGTTCATCGCGTCGATTACGGTACGTATATTTTTTTCTCATTTAAAGGCATCCGATTTTTCGAATCTCTAATACCTAGTATACCTAGTAATGCAGTCGGTATATTAAAATATAATCGTACCAATTGTATTTCATTTCCTACAATATTTCGTTGGTAACCGGTATAGGTATTTATTTCGCGTTTTGATTTTTTTTTGCTCGCCATTTACCGCGAGCTACGCAAGAAACTTGTAGCAATTGATTACAATATTATTTGATTAAATTCAATACCTACTTTACCGGCGGACGAGAAAAGAAAGTGTATAATATTATGTTAATTTTGTATGATTTTAATTCCTGTTTAAGTGCAGGATTTTAGGTACAAAATCATCCGGGGGAAGGGGGAAATTCCCATTCAATTAAATAATAAAAATTAAAAGCACTGTTGTAATATTTCATGTTTTAAACCGTATGAATTGTGTATGTTCATATTACTCGAAAACTAAAATTTATTTTGGGTTTTTTTATTAGTTATAGATAGGTAACCTAACTCATCTATAATTTTATTACAAATTGTTATATTGTAATAGGATCTTAAGAAAAAATAAAATCACAATTTCACGACAAACTAGTGTTAGTGACATTATTTAAATAACTTCTTCAAACATTCGAAATGAACGAACATATTATATTATTATTATATTTTATAGGTACCTAGGTACCGTTTGTACCAATTATTATTATCGATCATATTTCTGTAAGAATACCCATCAGATATATATATTACGAAAAACTTAACCTAACTTACTTATATTATTATTGTATTTTTACAATACTACAATTTTTTTTTCACAATATCATAATATATGACGCATACTTTAACAGATAAATTGAAACTTAAAATCGAAGTATTCGTATTGTGTGTACCTACCTAATAAAAAAAATTCTAACAGTTAGGTAACGGTACCCCGATACACGTTCTATCTTACGCTGAATGGCTTATGCTTTCGATTTTGTTTTTCCTTCTTTTGAATAATAAATTGATGTCATTTACTATAATAATAAATTATAGATAGATAGGTATGATTCATAATATTTCATTGTATGAATCATTATTTTAGCAATACGAATTTCAATATCCCACCGTAAAAAAAAAAAAAAACAATGTGTGCGTCCATCCTTGTGTAGGTAGGTAGGTTAGGTAAATAATTATTATCCACTTGTGGTGTGGGATGTTAAGTACACACACACACACACACACACTTATCAATCGGCAATGTTTTGATTTCGACTATGGTAGGTTAGGTTTAAAAACGAAATAATAGGTACTCGCACTAGTGTTAGTTAAGCCGGGTTCACACTGGGTATAATGACTATACCCCGTGCAGCATGATTCTATTGAGTGTATTATAATAATTATTATTCGACTCCCGCGGTACGGTGTTTTTTTTATAACATGAATTACATTCGACTCGTCGTCACAGATAACGTGTTGCCAACTTTTTTTGCAATATTATAAAAAAATGAAAAAAAAAAAAAATATATTGGCGACACGATGTGAATACGTAATATGAATTTAAAGAATGTCCCATATGAGTTTCTTATCGTATCGCAAAACGCACGACCCAAGCATTATTATTATAATAATATTTTATATCGAACTGAGCGCAGTAATATTATAACATTTTGTAGAGTGTATCTACACCCTCCTATGTAATAATTACCTAACTTTCTACGTTTGATAAAATGTTTTGCTTAATTCTTCATACCTATCTGTAAACACTCAAAACTACTTACGTGTTTTAATGTGTAAAATATTTAATCTGAATAACGTCAGAAGTGTATAATATTATACAATATAATTATAATATTGTATAATATTGTGTATTAATACTTTCGGATAGAAGTCTTGTTAGGAAAAAAAAAACAGTTTCTCATAATTGGTGGCGGCTCGTCATTGTAATAGTAGTATATATGACATAATTTAATTTTCTTTGAATCGAACCTCGTGATTTTATTTTTTTTTTTTATATTGTTATACGAGTATAGATTACACGACCATATAATTTAACCACATTATACAATTTATAGTGATATAATATTGTGATAATTATAATATAATTATACAAACGGTGTTTCGAACTGTAAACTAATTTAATTTTGCACCGTAATATTTTATTTATTTATTATTCGTAATAATACTTTATCAATCTATCGAAATTATAAATGATTGTATTTTATGTACCAGATAAGAGCCGTGACGATTACCGTAGCTGATAAGAACCGTCGGACGACGTCGAAAAGGGACAATAAGGAACCGTAGATTCCGGGACTCGCAAATGCATAAAATAAGCCAGTGACCAATATACCAAAAAGCAGAAAACACGGTGACGGTGGTGTGTTACTAGCGGTCTCTGTCGGTAATTGCGTGCTGTTTTCGAACGCGTGCAATTGTGCGCCATTTTCTCCGGTCGTCTATTTGCCCCACCTAAGTTCATTCGTCTCTACGCGTTTAAGGGTAAGGAACTCGCCTTGCCGCTACCGCGATACTATTGGCTATCAATCCTTTTTTTTTTCTATTAGGAATATTCATTAGATACATTATGTACAATGCTCTAATTTCGCCGACATGCTTTTTTCACGTTGAATGTTATTATTAAAATTTTATTTTTCCGTGTATTCAGTACCCATTTCTCAAAGGGATTTTTAGTAACATCTGTTTTTCAGAACGTCATCCAGTGTCGACTTTCAACCTACATACTTCAAAAATCCAAAAATCGACGACTGCAGTCCCTTTCAGCCCTAACTTGTCAGTGACCCTTGGATAATTGTTCACATTCGAATGTGTTACGGGATTGTAACGATCCTGTGACGTCAAGAGTAGTTTCTGTTCTGTTTGCTCATCATGCTGGACATTCAAATCGACGATTGGATTTGTGAACCGGCTGAAGACGTGAGGTACAGTAGCAACTGCGGCGGGGCGACCGTAAGATCTTGGCGCAGCAAATGCGATCCCGGCGAATGACGTCCCACAACTATAACCCTCAAACGCCGCAAACGACCCAGGTGATAATGACCGACCTTGTGGCTAGGTTTAGCCGAATGTTGCGTTTGCATGGAACCAGCCACAAAAAAGTCAATCACCAAGAAGATCCAGTCTGTACGCCTCTTCACAGTAAGTACCTAATTAATATTTACATACTTAATATGGTATATACATTCTTCTTCGGCTTTTTCTCAACTAGGTATTTGAAGTCTGCTACCTTTGTTCTAATCTTCCACTTAAACAAAAATCCCACCACACTGGGATTCACTGTCTGGCTTCATATCATTCTCAATCACCTATTTTCTGCTGTGGTTATTTTCATTACAACGCTTATTGGTTCAGATTTCTCTTTCCATATGACATGCTTAAACCATCTATTTTCTCTCATTTTGTGTCTGCTATCAAAGTCATGCCTATGTTACGTCTTATGTATGCATCCCTTATTCTATCTTTTCTTGTCTTCTCATCTACTAAAGCATTCTTATATCTGCTATACTCATTCTCTGTTCTATTTTACTGTCTTATCGCCCAACACTCTGAACCATATGCATAGTCAATCTCACCACACTTCTCTAAAACTTAACTTAAAGTCTTATTGGAATCTTCTTGTCACACACAAAGTCCCATTTCTTCAAGTTTCTTCTCTCCGTTCCTCAAACTTCTTGTTAATTTATATAAGATTTTTTCCTATAAAAGCTATACATATAAAACATCTATAAACACCGTCTGATTAAGTCTTGTTTAGAGCTCCTTAAACTGTTTGATATATTTATCGCATCTTACAACAGTTAAATATATAGTGAATATATTCTGATCTTTTACAGGGAATATGGTATCTACATTAAGTTTTAATGTACTAATTTTTGTTATTGTGTATGTATAGACAGTCAAATTTGTATCCAGATTAAAGTTGTATTCATAAATAGTTAGTATTATAATGTGTAAAATTAATTGTAGTTTGGTTATAATCGGAGTTATAATAGTTTAAAGTTGGTTTTAATTAGGTACACCAGAACCCAATTTTATTGTGTTAAAAGCGCATACCTAGGGGTTTTTATATTTTTAAAGTATTATACATATTTACCTAGAAATTTACTTAATTGCTTATTGGCAGTTAGGAAGAATCTAATGTTACATTGATAATCTCTAGTCAGTCAAAATAGTTCACGATAAGAATTTATCAGTTGGTTTATGTTGTTATAATGTGCCTCAATAGCTTTTAAAAACCTTATAAAAAAGTAGTTGTTCATTATCATTTTTAACTTATTTTGAATAAATTATCAGTTATTGAACATCCTAACAAATTTTACTTAGGTATCTACATTGTATCTTACTGAGTTCGGAACAAAATATCCTTTTTTAACTTGAAATTTTTCTAAACTCAACAATGTTATTAATATTTGTATATAAATGATTAAGTAATTAGAATTAAGTACCAAATTATTTAATATTTTTTTTAAATAATTAATTGAAATTTGTATTATCTTTTTATCATGATTTAGGTATATTAAAAAATAAATGTACCTATACATATACTGACATCTATATAATGTTCAAAATAGTAGATTCATTTTTATAATTGATAGTTTATACGAATGTATCATAATTTCAAAATAAAAATAAATAATTATTTTAATTAACAATTTAAGTATCATATATGTTTTTATGTTTGTAGGTAGTTATGTATTTATAAATGAAATAAATACATTACAATTTTATCTGAAATTATAAATTTTATGTTTATTAAAACAGGTTAACTGCCATGTGATTTTTTTGGGGTTTTGGTGAACTACTTACTGACACCACGAAATTTTTTGACAAGTTTACTGAAATTTTTTTTGGTAAAAAAATTGAATAACCGCTTCAAAATATCACACATATGTTTAATATGACATTTTAAATTCAGTTTACCCATTACCCCTAAATAATGTTTAAAAAATGCATAACTTTAATTTATATATAAATAATAATATTATAATATAGGTACTATGAGGTAATTTATGTATTAAACAACTAATATTATAATCAAATTGTTTGAATTAATTGTAACAATTTCGTTCTTTATATAGATAATACATTTCAATTTTTAAATACTGTAATCAAATTTTGATAAAAATAATAACAAAACCATAAATATATAGTAAATTAAAAATTAATAATAGTACCAATTTTGCTCTTTATATAGGAACTTGACAGTTATTTCTCACTAGAAAGACTGCACTTATATTGAATACTATATTTTCAAAAGTCTCATTACTTTATATAAATAATAATTATTAACAACTAAAAACATTGTATAATAATTATATCAGATCAAGGTGTATTGAATATTAAATTTTATAAGCTCAAATCATAAAATAAAATTGTTTTATATTATATTACTTTGTGATCTAGAAAAAAACATTCTAAACAAAAATATTTATCACATTTTGTTGTGGTTTTCTTCGAGTGTGACTTAATATTTTTTTCCTTTTTGTATACCTAGCCATTTTTTTATAGCATTTACAACATCTACTTTTGAAGCTTTTTCTAGTTAATGATTAACATTAGTAGTTATCAGATAAATAATGAATTCATTATCTAATTTAATTATATTGTCTACTAAAAGGGATCTAAATGTAATAATTGACATTTTGTTGGGTCGAGTCACTTGAGTTAACAAAACAAATGTGTTAACCATAGCTATATTTAGAAGAGTATCTTTTACAAATTTTTTTGTACCATTTAACAGTACGGTGTTATGGATTTGAGTGAGAACTCATTTGATCAAATAAATTTGAGGATTTACTTAAATTATAATCTATCACAACTTTTAGTTTCTTTACTGTTTTGCCAAAAATTTTTAGCTCTGTCATTTCATTATCATGCATAATTCTCATTTATCTCACCATTTTAAAACTAATACATTTGATGCATTTCTCATTGAGATAATTTCACCCTTCTTTAATTTTTTGTTTGTTACTTCTTTTGGATTTGATTTTCTGTTCCTTTTTAGAGTACCAACTAAATGTGTTTGTTTACTGTTGAATTGTTCTGTAAGTTCAACACTGGTATACTAGTTGTCTACAACAACATTACAGCCAAAATGTAAAAATGGTTCTGAAAGTTTTCGAACAATTTTTGATCCAACATTAAAAATAGGATTTTCTTCTTTGACACAATACATCTTTACAGTAAATGTATAACAGGGATGGATACACATAATTTAAAAAGTTTAGTTCCGAATTTGTTTCTTTTATTTTTATGTATTTGAATGACAGTCGATCTATAAATTTGATAAGAGAGAGATTCATCAATATAAATTGTTAAATTGGGTATATTACACATATTAGAGTTTATCATAACATCATCAATTATAGTGTCTTGTTTGCCAAAAAAACATCAATTAGCTTGGTGATTTGAAATGTCTCCATCAAAAATTGTTTCATCTTTATAACATAATATAATAAAGAATTTCAGAATATATATTATTTGTGGAATTTGGTAAACAATGTTTAAAAAATTAATAAAATTAAATTGTAACAATATTGTACAAATTTAAAAGAAAGAAAGAGGTTTGAGTATAATAATATTTTAGTTGATTGTTGTTTGCATTATCATTATTAGTAGATAATAGGTAGTCATTGTTACAAAAATCATCTTTAAAACAGTACTTTAAACACTGAAGTTCACAAATTGTGACCACATTTCATAAAGAAGATAATAGAATCATTTAAATTTACAATATTGTGAAACAATTAATTAAAAATAAATAAATAATGATAGTCATCTGCTATATTAACGGAATTATAGTGGCATTATAGAATTCAAATCTGCTATTAAAATTATCAAAAATGTGTTTGGCAATTAGGGTTCAAATAACGTAAACATTAATGAGATTCCAAATGAAATCTTAGAAGCAGCAGTTTTCAGTAAACTAGTTGAGATCCCAAATTGGATCTCTAAGAGATTAGAGAAATTAGTTTAAAAGTTTGTGGCGGTTAACTTGTTAATTTAATTTGTATCAAAATTTAAAACATTTATTATTATAGCATATTAAGAACATTACAATATAGGCCAAGTCAATGTTTAAATGTTAAATACATTAATTGTTATTTTATATTTATCTATAATATAATATATATAATAGGTGTACGAGTTTAAAAATAATTAGGTAGATACCTAATAAAGTGTACAGCAGTTTATCTAATGATTTAATTAAAATAATAATTTTGAGTTGTATTTGAATATATAAAGAAAATGAAAAATGTTTCAAATAAATTTAAAAATGTATTTTATTCTTATATGATTTGTATTTTATTATTTATTATTGTTTTATATATAAATGTAATATAATTTTATAAGGTGGGCAAATACTTTTTATAATTCTTAATAATTTTGATTAATTTCAGAAATGAATTGCATCATACTATAAATTATTAAGTTATACCTATTAATTATATTAACTTTTTTGAGAAAATAGGCGTGTGTGTTTTAATCTAAAAGGAAAAAATCTAAAAATACATATTTAAATTCTAATGGAAGGAAGTGATTAATAATTTAACCTTTAATCCTTAACTTACACCTAAAGTATAATATGATTTCTTGCTTTATTTTTACTTTCAGAAAAACAAAGAAAATACCCAGAAGAGATATTTCTCTGGAGTGTCCCTTTCTAAGAAAAATATTCAATGGCATAGTATTATAAGTCATTATGTCTGTTATGGTTTAAACTGGTGGAAGAATTGAGTTTTAAAATAAAAATAATTAATGCTAGTTTTTTAAATAGGTCTTAACAACTTAAAGTTAATTTTACAGCAATAAAAAATAATGTATCATCTATAAGTAATTTGGTTGTACACTAATATCAGTTATATACATATGTTAGGTATATATTTACTAACAAGTTAGTTCCTTAATATTTTTTTATCATTTAATAGTTTATTATTTATTGTATATAAAAAAAAGTAATGTCTGCCAATTGGATATTGTATTATTTGGATTTTTAACTTGAAAACACATATTTAAGAGGGTGTTACAGATAAACAAGTAGTATAAAAAAAAATGTGTTCCGCGCTTCCAATAATACTTAAGATCATTTCATCAAATTAAAGACGATTATATTTGCTATGTTTTCAAATGGATTCTTTTGATATTTATTTCTAAGATATCTAATGTATTTGTAATTTAAGAACCCTTGAACTTCAAAAAAAATCCCCCTTTGAAAACATATATATATATATAATGAGTATATTACCGATACATTTAAAAATATGGAATAATTTTTAGAGTGTTTAAAATCATCTAAATTACATTTTTTTTCTATTGAAATTCAAGGTGTATTCAATTTAAACAAAATGAAAGGCTTCCACACAATTTAAACATATGTGTTTGTACACTTGTAGTTGGTGAAAAAATGTAATATTTTGTGCACTCATAAATAGAATTATGTACACTATTAGGTCACTTGTTATTTGATTTTTGTGGTATCAGAATAATAATGTGTAATGTGCATTTAATACTAGATATAATAGGATGTATTAAGTATATTTTAAATATAAAATCATATTTTTTAAAATATTTAAACTTGAAATAATCACATTTTAGATTCTGAGTGTAGTGTAACAAAAAATGTATTGTTTTTGCAATGATGTTTATTTATTTATTATTTTTTTTTTAACTATGACAAACATTTTTATTAGATATTTTGGTTTGATACGTAAGTGTGGCACTTTTTCTGAATGGAAATTTTGTATAGATGGTACTTAAGACGGGGTATTTTTTGAATTTCCAAGTGGTTTATAATATTTGGGAAAACTTTGGATAAAACTTAAAAAAAAACCTGAAAATTTACGAAAATAATGCTTATATTATTTTTAATTTTATTTTTTATTGTTATTCAGTTTAAAATATTCGTAGAGAGATGAAATTTGAATAGAAAATATATATTTGACCCTTACAGATATACAATTTTCAAAAATTTGTACCCATTATTGAGCTATTTATATAAATTTTTATTTGTATTCCATAGACGGTAGTATAGTTATTTCAATAAACTAACTCAAATAATAAAATAGGCCCAAACAAAAACTTTTTTTTTTATTGTAACTTTGAAAAAAAACAATTACAATTAAATTACAATTAATTTAAGGATAAAAAGATTAAGGTAATAATAATTGTATCATTCATGCCTAATGAGGTCAATTAAAACAAACAGAATGAAGTTGAAATATGATTAGGTACAATAGATGCAATTGGAAATAATAGTATTATTATACTCGTATAATAATTAAATAGAGATAAGCAAAAATAAATGCTACGGACTATGGAGTATAGCGTTTTTGTTGTATCTCTGTGAGGAGTGATATTAGTGGTTCAATTAAAAAATTTAAATTAGTGATACATTTTGATAACATTGACGAGACGAAATTTTAAGTTGGATTGTTGTTTGTGACAGCTTCTGCTTATGATCTCGTTCTGGGCTTAGTTTGAGCGTCTAATTTATAATTAGCGGTATGTACGCCAGAGCATAAAGCATATTTGGCCGGTAAATCACGTGATTTGTTGTATTCTTCGGTTAAGTGGTTCAGGCTACACTTGTCGCAGCGAGAAGTATGCGAACAATAACGAAGCATGTGCTCGTATGATCAGCACTGCTTACATTGCAGCTGATAACGAATTTTCTTTGGTTTTTCGATGATGACTATGAAATGAAGTAGTTTTTTCAGTTAAAAAACGTCCATGCTAAACTCGTTGCCAAGATTAACGTTGAAAAGTGATATCGAAAATTTGATGGTCCTATTTAAATTATGTTCAATGCCTAAGACGGAGAAACCTATTTCTGTTAAGGCCGCTTCAATATCTACTACGGAAGTAGAACGATATTGGTGACGAATTATGCGGTCAACACAGCACTGCAAACAAAAACTTGTTCAGTTATTTTATTTCTTTGAAATTATTTTTAATTTTCGTAAACAAATAATTATCTTATGATAATTCTATTGTGTGAGTGATAATGGAATTATAATAGGTTTGCTATAATAGTATTTACTAATTCGTAATTTTAGTGTGTGTAACCGGGTTTTAACCGAATTAATGGTTTATTCGGTCTAACGATTACAAATAAACTATTTTCTTATTTAAAAAAATGATTGTATATTTATAGCGTGAGATTGAAATGGTGAAGTGCCTTAAAGGGCCTTAATCTCTCTTTCCGGGTGTATCAAATATATCAACTGATCTTAAGAGTGAATCTGGCGATAATATTCTGAAAGTTAATTTTTTGTCTGCTTCATTAGTTTTATAAAATGGGATGTGCGCCTATAATTTACGTTATAACAAAATTGTTGAAATTTTCCAACGGCTATACGAACAAAAACTGTAAAAGTTCGTTGAAATGCAAATTTTATTCAAATTTCTAAAATTTTTTTAAATTAGATTCTTGAAATTTATATTCCTATCACTGATTATTATCTTCTAGAATTTAGACGTGATGTAATTTTCGAAAAAATGTACGGTTTGAAGGGGACTACACAATAAATTTGTTTTTCTTTGTCAGTCTCGCTCGTAGTATCTCGGTACCTAATAAAATTTGAACACAGGTGTTCCGCATTTCAACGGTTGCGACTCTGATTGATTTTAGTGCGAAATGACCTATTATACATTCGATAAAAAAAAAAAAAAATATTTACCGTGTCGTGACTTACTGTTTTTTTTTTTAAAAATATTTTAATTAATTAATAAATTATTATTGTTTATTATATATTATCTAAAATGTATTGATACAAACCGATTTTAAAAATAATATCTTGTATAAATACATTTTAGATAATATATAACCAATTAGTTTATGTTTCTTATCATATCTTTTTCTAATAATAATATATTTTTAAATAATCTCTCCTATTATAATAAATTATTTCTATGTAAAACGACCAATTTGTATAATTTTTTTTCTATTTATTCCTTCATTTAATTTTTTATATTCAGTCGTGTTTTACATTTTGACTGATGATGAATTTTTAATTCGAAAGTGAATAATATATCATTAATTATTATTACATAAACAATTAATTACTAGTCGTAATATTTTAATATTTTAGACTTAATGAAATAATTAAATGCAATTAAAAATATTAATATTAACAAACAATATTTATAATAAATTTATATGAATACAATATAACATGCGACGCACACGTGATAACACAAATATTTTATCACTACTAGTAAGCACTAAGCGCTATCACCAGGCGGTGACACGTTGCGAGTGCGATCACGAGTAAAGAAGTCTTGGAGGGTTAGCCACTTGTTGTTAAGAAATAGAATGACGTTCTATTCACTCGCACTCGCGTTTTTACTAATACTAAGCGCTATTCAATCGCCTATCGGTTTTTACACGTATGGTATTAGTGCGAGGGACAAGTACTATACATCGTGTAAACCAGGCATAATAATTTCCTTTCGATAAACGATGGACTACGACGTACATTTTTTGTTTGTCGCGAGAAAAGGAAATTATCTAGATACCACCTCTCCTCACCCCCTATTTAAATTATCAGAATACTCATCTCTTTTAGTGAAGATTAAACCAAATATACGTGTTCAGCGCCACTGCGCATGACAATGAAATATCGATTTTTGTTTGTACCTATAATAATATTTTAAATTCAACTTGTATTCGATACGTCTTTCAATGTTGAATATCCTTGGATGTCTTTGACGAAGCATATTTTGGAATGTAATTAAGTGCTATACTTTTTATTTTATCAACAGCATTTCGTTGTAATCGCCTTAATTTTTAACAAAAACGTTACAGTTTTACGTTTCAATTGTATTATTACAATATGTTGGTATAATATAATGTCTGTTAATATTTTTATCAATGATATTTTTCGTTTTATATATTTAGCATCTAGCGCGAATGTTTTAGACGAAAGAGATGACGATGTTATTGTTCAGTTTATTAATATTCGATTTCAACGCGTACCTATATAATATATACGTGTCCAAATTTGTTGAACATAGGATTGGAAGTGGTATAATACGATTAGGTTAAGATTATAATAATTCGACTAATAGACTTAAAATTCAGCAGCCCGATGTAAAAAGCTTATGTATAATAATCGGAGAGTGGCCAACTAGAAAATCGTTTTCTATCGTAAAATAGCGCGTTTCGTAAAAACGCTTATAAGAAGAGTTATAATAATATAATAATTATATAAGAAGAGCTTATAAGATGATAAGAGAATCCACTCACTTATATTGTTCACTCTCTAGTCCAAGAACTATAGGTGGAGGAATAAACTAGATGAAGTGTTATAATTGGCTGTCCTCAGGTCAGAGTGTTGTTATCTATCACGCCTTGATCTACTACCAGTCCATATCTCTGGGTCCATATGGCTACGCCTCCCCATTCTCTGTGCTAATGTCCCGTCTGTATATCTATAAGTATGACTGTATGAGTATAATACACGTGTGTCACGAAATTAAATTACGGTTTTTTTTTTTATGTATACAAATTAATAATTATTTTATTTGCTTTTATTTTTTGATTTTTCAAATAACATTTACATTCTCACGGACCGCCTATATTAGTGTTACCAATCCAAAGTTCAGATTATAATAAATTAGCGTTTGCTATTTGTTTATGTTTGGTAAATTTTACTTTTAGACAAATTTAAAGTTAACCTTCCGTAACACCAACATGTAAACACTTACGATAATCTGATTATTTAATACGTTTTAAATAAGTATTGATTGGTTGCGTTCGAAAAAAAACAATTTTGATTATTGAATAATATATTTAATCGGGGATGAAAATATTTTATGAGAATTTTGGTTTTCGGTTTTCGATTTTTTTTTTTTTTATTTTATGATGTTTCTTACAATTACTACTACATCAGTTTGCTAAACTATTGATTTTTTAGAATATTTTAAAATCAGTTATATCTAGGTAAAAATTAGACAATATATTATAATTATAAATACACATAATGTATTAAAAAGATATAAATATGAAAACATGCTGTGATTTCGGTAAAAATGTGCATCATGCATAAGTTAATTTGAAAATCTCCAAAAATGATACGGGGAAAATAATAATTGTACTGTAATTACAAACTGGATATTTTATTTTATAGAATAGATAAAAAAAAAACACGAAAAGTTGAAATACACGTAGGAAATTAAAAAATATGCGTAAATGAGTATTAAGTTCTTTATTTACAGATTTTACAGATATATTTTTTTTAAAATTTATTCGATATTTAATATTTTTAATACACTTTTTTTTTATTTTTTTTAAAGCTCAGATTTCGTGACGTAAGATTTACTTCAATAATATTTTACCGGTATTAATGTATTATTTAGTTAGCTGATGTTCAGTACATATGCGTTTTGTTGAATCTAACCTATCCATATATTTTTTTGTTTTTTTTTTTCTTTTTTAGAACATTTAAAAGTTATAGTCCCGTTCTTCATTTTGAATGTATTATTTTTTAGAGAATATCCGAATGGACCAAATCTTCCTATTTACTTTTGGATTTTCTCCAGTTATCCTTCTCCCCCACCAGTGATATCAGTGTATTTCCTACACGTAGTTTATAAAATTTTGTTACAAAATCTATTGAATCATAATTATCTATCATTTATTTTTTATCGGACCCACAGTAAGCAAAATCGTATTTTTACCGGGTATTCATTTGGACACAGAAAACCTCTGCACAAAAAAAAAAAAAAAAAAAAATGGTCCGATTTATGGAATTATAGTATTTTATATCTGTTTTTTGTTATTTTCGTGATCCACCAATAAGAAAATAAATATATTCGCCATATTATTTTTTTGAATATTTTTTTCGATTATAATCAGTTAACATAGTAAGACTTATGTACATACAGAAAACCGGACGTGCCTGAACTCCGAAGTATATGCCCCTCCAACGACTCTTCTTATACTTACAACCGACGACGGTGCTCGAAATGATTGCCATAATTTATTATATTGGTAGCTTCAGTGCGTCACTACGACACAATGTCATTACACTTATATAGGTTCATTTCTTCGAGTAGGTCCGTCGATATTAGACGTTACGTCTGTTCGGTTTTTTTTTTTATTTTTTGGTATTTTTTTGTTTTTTGTTTTCAGATTTCGTTTGCATTATAGGTGAATACCATATATTTACTTAACTTCTTTGTATGCGCGAATTAAGGCGGTCAATTAATTTTCGAGACACATACCTCTACTTCTATATAATAATATAATAGTCGGTCATCGTAATAACGTAATGTGCATTGCTAAAGGCGGGAACGAAGAATCTATAGCATAATATTTTGCCGCAGTGTTAAACGAGTTTCTGGTAACTAGTATTTAGAAAAATGTCCGTCCATAAACTGTTATAACGACTGCCGTCGTGTCTTTTATTCCCGTCTACTTCTGCATTAAGTGAGTGTAGTTTGTCACGTGGATACTACTGTTTCAATAAAAACAAAAACAAAACGTCTATAGTGGGAATAATAATAAACCGTTAACAATACTTTTTTTATATATATTACTCGAATTAAAAAAAAAAAATCACGCGTGTATTTGTATCAATAATTATAAATCGGTATTGCCTTTCACGGTTTTTATTAATAATGTCTAGCAATAACAACAACAACGACGGTATGTGTTTTGACGAATAAAGAACGTACTATATATATATTATACATTATAATTAATTATTCTTGTGTATATTTAATATATATTATACACTATGTTTATTATACGTATATATTCAAATTTTATTTTTTTTAAATTTTTTTTCAGGGCCAATTAAGGAATCCAATTTCGACGACGATAACCCGTCTGTTGATTATGTCGACATTGTTGGTACCGAGGAACAATTGGTTAGTAATATTTGTGTTCACTGTATATTAATACTATTATAATACGCTATAAATAACAATTAGTAATAATGTATCGATAATATTCCGTCATTATTGTTTTCTTATTGAATATAATCGAGAGTAAATGATTTATGTGCGGCTTACGTTAAATTAATAGTGATCATTTTTATCTATCTATCGGTTTTCAATAAATTACCGTAATTACTAAGTATACAATTTATAGGTAAAAACTATTGTCGGCTTCGTTATCAATTCTAATTCGTTTATAAATGAAATAATTATAGATAATATATAACGATATTAATTATTGTACGCATAATTAATAAATAATAACAATATTGTTAAACTAAATTTATAAAATAGTCTTTATATATATAGGTATATTAAAATTGTTAGAATTTCGATAGTAAAAAATAAAAAACTGCATATTTTGGGGAAATAAAATTGAAATTCGAATTGAAAAATTACAAAACTAACAATTCTCTTTAATTTATCCGTCCGGATTTTCGAACTGAGAATTTTGAAAAACGATTTCTCTTCGAAATAGTGTCTGGTACCTATAAGAGTACTTCCAAAAGTGCTCTGAAAAAAATTATGTTACTTAAAACTAATAACTTGTTTCCAAAAAATGGTTTTTGAATATTAGTGGTGAGCCAATATGTCTTTTTCCCGATATTCGTTACCAATACAAAACCGATATTTGAAATCGAAAACCTCCAGTTGATATTCCCATTGTGATGCCCTTGGCTTCCAGGGGTATTATGATAGACATTTAATCCCCGGAAATTTTATGTCAAATATCGGTTATGGAAAACACCTGATATTCTCAATATCGATTTACGCCGAGACTCGTCACTAGACTCACCACTGCCGATTAAGTATCCGGGTACTTAAAATACTCTTATCAAAACTTATAAACTTTACTTATTACCTTACTCGAGTCTTGAGTGCAGTTTTGAGTGTAAAATAATGAACAATAAATATAATTTGCATTATACTTAGGTAATAACATTATAACTATACGAACAATAAAATTATCTAAAATATATATTTAAGTGATCGATTAGCCTTAGGTGTATTTATATTTTAGTGAATTGCAATATATTTATCATTCACTCGAGTCGACCCCCATTTTTTTTGTCTACTTAATATCTTTTTTAAAAAACAAAATTCGCATTAATATCTAGTTATATTTTGGTTCTATTAATATTCTTCTGAATGAAAGGTCACACGACCTTTACATTATGTAGAAAATTATAAAATAGTATTTTTTTTTTCTATAAAATATAATGATTTGTAAGTCGCATTAATACGTTTTCGTTGCTGTGTTTGAATTCCGTTTCTCGCGGGGTTTTCTTTTTAAGCAACAAATAATGTTGTTAAAACCAACGAATAAATTATACCGGGTGTCGCACGTATTATAAATAAAATATTACGATGTTACTTGCTTTTTAAATCACAAAGACCGTAAATCTTACGCGCGTTTTACATGTTATTATTTAATTCTGTACGGTAGATTAGCAAATAATAATAATATCAAACAAGTGTGCCACAGGATGCGGACAATTTCATTGCATTACAATTTCGATCTTCAAGGTCCAGTTAATTAAACTACAATACAAACCGAAATGTTTCGTTGAAATATGATTGAAGGACATTTATTTTGCAAATATCGCGTTCTTTATTAATTGTAATATACCGTCAAACGCACAATAACGATATTAATTGAGGTGACGCAATTAACGCTTAATAATTAATAACCAACGGACTTACGTGTAAAAATTTTAATTCGCGCGTAAATTATTTAGGTGTACATTGCCTATTGCCGGGAAAGTGATTTTCTAATCAGAAATTTGGAAAAAAAAATAAAAATATATTCCGAGTTTTACATATTATTATCATACTTACATTTAACGGATATTGATTTCATCAAACACGTTAATAATCCATTATATTATTTGTATCGAAATAATTTAACTGTTATTTTCATTACTTGCTGTGCAGTAGTATGTTCAATTCGGTTGTTTACACATTCTCTAAACGCTAATAGTTCGGCTCGTTTCTTACACATACTGTAAGTCGATATACCTACTAACCAATAAAATACATTATACTTGAACGTTTTCCTAAAAATTAAAATCGCGTTGTCGTCGAACGTAATATTATTATTAGGTATTATTGTTTAAAAGTCACGTACTTAGTACACACAAGTATTATAATATCTCGTCCATGTCTTTATTGTAATTTTTTTTAGTATTTTACAACGTGATATTCGTAACAGTTTTTTTTTCTTCCTTAACGTTAAGTGAGGAGTAGATGGAAGTATTTAAGAAAAAAAAAAAAAGTACGTATTATGCAGTTATAGATATTTCAAACAGGTAAAAATATTCGAAATAATAAAAGGCGTTTAGGTTTTTGTTCGACTAACGTTCATTTTTCCACTGCCTGCTAATTGTCTTATTATATATAGTTGTACTTATTACCTATATGCGTTACGGTTAATGCCGTTATATTTATACTTAAACCGTTTTTGTGCTGTTAGTTTTAATATTAGAGTGTATTGGCCTACCATCAAACTTAAAGGCAAGAACATTGTCTGTGTTTATATACGTTGGTTTTTTTTTCTTTATTTTCATTTTTAAGCCAGATTCGATTTTTTTTTTTTATTGTAATATTTCACGTAACTCGCTAACACTCTAATATTACTACAACTAACTGTATAAAATCGATTTTTTTTTTTACAAAAAGTATGAATTTAATGAACCGTAATGTACATTGTATTTAATATTTAGTGAACGTGTATATAAGTGTTTCGTAACTTTTTTTTACGCCCACTGCTCTCAACATAAAAAATGTCTCCGTGGAGGTCGAGAATCACTACATATTGTCTGGTTGCCTAGTAAAATGTCTTGTTTGTTTGTTTTTTTTTTTTTTTGTATCTGTAAACAACTTTTCTGCAAGAAATGTTAAATCAAAAACTTTATAGGAACTTTCTTGAAACGTTTTTGATCTACTTGGGTGCATTGGAGAGAAAGAGTACTTATTGATTTTCCTCGTAGTTTTCATCTGTAAAGTGTGTTAAAATCGACTTATGATAGGTTTTGTCGAGTAGCCGACGATATACGTTATATAATGTGTACCAAAAATTCGAACATGTATCGGATCGGTTCGTTATTATAATATTAATAATAATGAATAATTTGTTTGAAGTGTAATAATTATATTGTTATATTTTTAATCGTGTGCGATTCGATTAATAAAACACGCAATCGCATGAATTGACATTTTTTTTCCAAATTGTTTTTATAATAATAATTATTATATTCGTAAAGACGACGGCGTTTTGTGAATACAATCGCCGTGATCATGCGCAAAAAGTATGCAATTTTAATTAACGCGATCATGAATCGACAATTACTGTATATTATTTATTATTGTTATTATTCGAAGAGAGGTGTCAATACACAATACAAAAACTTAACCCAAAAATATAGATACCGGGGGTCACCGCCACTCTAGCCGTTTTGTTCGTTTCAGGGTTAAATCAAACGCCCCCTCCCCCATCATTAACAGATTGTATAACATTGTGAATGTTACCTATTTATTTCTTTTATATATATAATACATATATGTGTCGTAGCCACTTCGTGAAATTTATCTTTTCATGAAATGGAAACGGTTTTTTTACACTTAGTGAAATTCGAAAATATTTCATAAAATGACCACTCCAATTTAACATTGTGTAATTTTTTTCAATTATGTGGTATACACAACTTTATATACTAAAATACAACATTTATTACACACGTTAAGTTTGATTATATCCGTTAATTACGTGGCACGTGGCCACGTCAAATAAAATAAATACTATCTATATTCTATATTACTATTATACTGCAATTACCAGACTATCCGAAATGTGTATATATAATATTTATTGGTTTTGATAAAAGTCATAAGCATAATGTCATATCAGTATTTTGGTAATACCTTGATGTTCAAGTGTTTAGTAGTTGCTGTGTGGATCATTCGATCCACTATTCTACTCTATACTTCTGTGTAATATAAAAATGGATACATTTAATGAAAAAACTGAGTTTTACTAAAAAATGGAGAAATATTATTTGGATAAACCTGGTAAAATGCCTCATACAGCTGAAAAAATGAGATGTACAAAAGTAGGAACTACAAATGGTATTATTAAATGATGATTCAATTCTGGAAATATGCAACATGCCACTGAAAATTTTATTTTAGCTGAACAGGCTGACAAACAAAAATAATTAACCTTGCATGAAATGGTCCAAGTTTTATCTTGGGGTCTTAAGTGTTCTAAGGTGTTTTTAAGCTGTTCATGTAAAAATGTTTGTCAAACTAAACGATGTGTTTGTTTTAAAGGTAGTTTAAAATGTAAAAGTCGTTACAATTCATTTTTCTACTCTAATAAATAAAAAATGATTATAATATGATTAATATGATATAAATAGTTATAAATATACTATGTAATATGTATAATAACTTCAGTTAACTTTTAGATAAAAATAACTTACATTTATGTTTATAATACCGTGTATCTTGACAAACTTGACGTGTGTAATAAGTGTTGTATTTTAGTACACAAAGTGAACGACCACATTTTGAAAAAAATTACATGATGTTAAATCGGAGTGACCATATCATGAAATATTTTCGAATTTAACGAAGTGTAAAAAGCCGTTTTCATTTCATGAAAAGATCAATTTCATGAAGTGGCTACGACATACACATACACATAGGTATATAATATAGTTTTATTGAGACATTTTGGTTTTTGCAGTTTTACATTGTTCCTCCATCGAGTTTCTTTATCTTGTGCAGGATCACCTTGATTATCTCAAAAAGTATTTTTCGTAATTTTTTTATTTATTTATTTTTATTTTTTGCATAACTCATGAAATAAGTAGCTTTAAATTGTCATATTTCTGTTATTTTTCGTTAATCTTATTCGTGGGTGGAATCACTGCCCACTTTTGATTTTCAAATAGCAACCTAAATTTAAAATTTCAGAGATTGATGAGTGTTTTAGTTCGAATACATTTTGATGTTGAACTATTTGTTTCAAAGTTTTTTAAGTATTCCGAAAAAAATAAATACTTTCCGAGATATGAATCTGAGGGTTGATCATACTGTATATTGTCTAGCAATTCACATTTTCATTGACTTTTGAGATTTTTTTTAATACCCTAGCAACCATCCATCGCTGACTTAGTCTTACCCTTAGCCTACTTTTTTGTGGGTGTCTCATTATAGGACATTACGTATAAAAAATGGTCCACACGACCCACTCCAGTCGTTTTGCCCTTACGGAAATGATACTATTCAGTTTGTTATGGCATTGTAATAAGAAAATTTAATGATCATTTGATTTTTGTACTTGGTCGAATCAATATATATTTGTTTGTTTTTTTTTTTTTTTGATATAGCTTTCTTTTCGTATGTCAGTACTACAGTTCAATGATCTTGAACATATAATAATAAAAAAATAATAATAAATAACTAATAACTAATAACATATTTCTTCCATGCACATGCATAAAATTCATTTTTAATTTATTACTGAAACCAGTTTTTTTTTTTTTGATTAATCGTTTTGGAATAAATTTTTAAAATATCATACTCATATGCAGTGATGCATTCTATACCGTTGGTCATTTAAACTCGTCGGCCTCCATGTTCATAAACTTATTAATAATCTAAAACGAACATAAACAAAATAACATTATTCTCATCCTAGTTTTTTATCGCGAGAAATTTATTTTGGCGTATGTGTGTCAATGTTTTTAAAATAAATTAGTGTAGGTAACCCGATTATGGTCAGTATTCATTTCTCCATAACGTCCTTAAAATTGTTGTCATTTAATAAGTTATTTACTTAATATACGTTAATTTATATTTTTATTTTTATTTTCTTGAAAAGGATATTATAAATTCAAACGTCGTTTTTCAAGTTTTCATTAAAGTTTTACATTTTAACGGAAATGTTAAATTTATCCAGGTAATTTTTTGGTAGGCAGTTTATTTGTACGGGTACACTTTGGAAAACTATTAGGAGAACCAAAAAATAAGTAATGTCTCTAAAGTATTTACCTCATTGTTGTCGGTTAATAACCTATCGTTTATGTGGAAACTTTTTGAGCATTTTTACTAAACTAAAAATAGCTGCATCACTCTATTCAGAATCTAAAATTACACTATGCGAAAGCTAATATTTTGTCATTCTATTGAAATCATGTACCTACTAAGATAATATTATTGGAGGAATATTATACTAATATTAGACAATGGCAATATATGAGAGTATGACATTCACTTGATTGTATGAAATTCAAAATCTAATGCATTTATAATAAAAAGGTTTTCTTATTAAAAAATAAATAAATATATATATATATATATATGTTTATTAACCTGCAACTATTCTTTGCATTAGGATTATATTATCTACAATTTATTTTTATGTTTATAGGAGTTACACGGGTACCGACGGCATATGGGATACACGATTATGTCATGGATAGTGACGGTAATGTCGTGTGGTGCTCTTCACCTAGCTTTTTATTGGTGGCCAACTTTTATGCTATTTTCGACTCATACGAAATGTTCGTTGCAAAATGCCCAAAAAATCTTAGTGGTGGTACGTTATATTTAAATTATATATATCTATTTTAAATATCAGGAATTTGTTATATTAGAATTTTTGTTTTAAAATATGTTCGTTGTAGGAAACATATAAGAAAAACCATAGAAGTGAACATGTGGCCAAAATCGAGATTATCGATTCCTCTTCGCTGTTACCAAGGTAAGTGGGGTTTTTAGTTTTTACACTCTAGTGCGACCAAGGAGAGGATTCCCCGAGGACCAAAAGGGCTCTCCTTATCGCTAGACGTAATAATAGTGGGCCTATTGTTTGTTGCCTATCCAGTTAGTGCAAGACGATTATACTGTTACCAATGTGTCTATCCGTATTGTGTTCAAACAGTGAAGCGTGTCGCGTGAATGGCTGGGACAGAGAGGCGTACTTCGAACTCAAATCACTCGGCGAATCAGCAAAGCTATCGGTGCGCACTTCAAATGGAATATTCAAAGGTATGTACATACTTTAAATTTAATTAGCTAATTTTTGTTTTAATCATTTTTTATTACCTATTATTAATATATTTTAGACCTGGAAGAAATAAGACGGTTCGATTTCAAGAAGTACAGATTCATTTGGGACGTGGACAACAAGGAGTTCTACTTGTTGACAGGAATCGATCATGGAATAGACACTCATGAATTACACGAACAAAAAGGAATATCTGCTAGGGATCAATATCTTCGCCGAGCCGTATACGGACCCAATATCATTGACGTGCCATTGCAGACCATTTCGTCTTTAATTTTTACTGAAGTTCTTAATCCGTTCTATGTATTTGAATTGTTTTCATTTTTACTTTGGTATCTTGATGATTATTTATCATATGCCACAGCCATATTTGTCATATCCTTAGTCAGTATTATAACTGCTGTAATACAAACGCGGAAAAATCAAAGGAATCTTAGGAGTACTGTGAATTCTAGTGATGTTGCCAATGTATTGCGAGAGAACAGTGTTGTTACAGTTCCTACAGAATTATTAGTACCAGGGGATGTTTTGGTTGTCCCCAGTCATGGTTGTGTTATGCATTGTGACGCAGTACTTCTCACTGGACATTGTATTGTTAATGAAAGTATGCTTACAGGTTAGTCGTTATCATAATACTAATTTCATAAACATAAACTTACCGACTATACTCCTAACCTAATAAAAAACTATTATATTTTTATAGTAAAATATAGAAACAAAACTAGTATGAAAAAAAAAGAAATTGAAGAATATTCTTATATTTATATTCCGAGTGTAGCGAGAAAGCTATTGGTTTTACTTAGATGTCTGTTTTTTCTTTTTTTTTCTTCTAGTCTGTGGAAACATTTTTTCATAGTAAACTTGCTCTGATTTTTTACGTGTAGTAACTTTTTTGAAGCTCGAGTTGTCTCTATGGTACTTAAGAGAGGTAATTTCTATTAAATAAAAGCACTTAAGTGGGAAAAAACATAGGAAAATGTACAATTTCACGATTTCATTATTTTATAAAAACACTAAAAATGTTGTTTTCTACCATAAAAAAATGATTTAATCGAAAAATTACAAGTCACCTTTTTTTGTTGCCTTTTTAAGCCACTGAGCTTTTAAGGAATTTTAATTTTTAGGAGTTTTTTTGCTGTAATTTGATTATAAATACATGTAAAGATTTGAAACTTGTTAATAATACTTATATTGAACTTACCTAGACATGGTCAAATTTCCAAAACCATTAGGTGACTTTTATTTTTCAATAAGCATTTTGAAAATTAAATTTAAATGAAAATCGCCAAAAAAAATTACAATTGTTATGTGTAGATATAAAAGTGATTGAATTGTTTAACATCATTGTTACAATTGTCATAATATAATAAATATTCGTTTTATTTTCAGGTGAAAGTGTTCCAGTTACTAAGACACCAATACCCGGTAGCACGGATTTAAAGTTTGATATAAAAGAACACGCTCGTCATACGTTATATTGTGGGACAACAGTAATACAAACTCGTTTTTATGGTGAAGGACGAGTGTGTGCTGTTGTGGTACGCACTGGTTTCCATACTAGTAAAGGCTCTTTGGTGCGTTCAATACTTTATCCAACTCCAGTCGACTTTGAATTTGAACGTGACAGTTATAAATTCATTCAAGTGTTGGCTGGCATCGCTGCGATTGGATTTATTTACACAGTGACTATTAAAGTGTCTCGAGGACAACCATTCTCTGCGATAGTGATGAAAGCTCTTGATCTGATAACAGTTGTGGTCCCTCCTGCGTTACCTGCTGCCATGACTGTTGGACAGATGTATGCACAAAGCAGATTGAAAGATCATCATATTTATTGTATTAGTCCAAGAGCCATTAACGTAGCGGGATCAATTAATTGTGTTTGTTTTGATAAGGTAATTCAATTTTGAAGATTTTAATTTATTATACATATATAAATTATAATATAAACTATTATTACAGACTGGTACCCTAACTGAAGATGGTTTGGATATGTGGGGTGTAGTACCGGTAACAACATCAAAATTTTTACCTTGCTACAAGAACATATCTTCGATGCCAGCAGATCATTTGCTCATGTCGGCCATGGTAACATGTCATTCTATTACATCCATTGACGGAAAACTGTCAGGTGATCCTTTGGATTTAAAAATGTTCGAATCTACCGGTTGGTTACTCGAAGAACCTAAAACCAGTGAAGACAACCAATTTGATTTAGTAATGCCAGTTGTTGTTCGACCACCGAATATACACACGTTTACCACTATTGAACAAGTAAAAATTTGTGTATTTTGTAGTTTTCTTATTTTAAATTCCGAGCGTAATAAGGGAACTATTGGTTTTACTATGTGTCTTTTTTTCTTTTAGTCTGTGGACACATTTTTTCCTTGTAGGAAAGCGTACAATTTTATTATTTTATAAAAACACGAACAGCATTTTCTACCATATAATATGATTTAATTGAAAAATGACAAGACACCTTTTTGATTTACTTTCTCTTATGGTATCATCTCCAAACCTTTGATTCACTTTTGAGCTTCTAAGGGGACTTAATTTTTGGGAGTTTATTTGCAGTAATTCGGTTATAAATACATGTAGAGACTTTAAACTTGGTAATAATATTTATATTGGACTTACCTAGATGTGGTAAAATTTCCAAAATTAGACAACTTTTTTTTTTAATAAGCGTATTTAAATTATATTAAAATGAAAACAGCAAAACAAATTACGGCACTTCAAATTATGTATTACCAAACTGCGCTCGGAATCGTCTTTCGTCAACCAATGGTTTATCATTACTTACAGATATAAATGAAATAACCTTATGTACCCTACCTTCCAAACTTCTCACCTGTAAAAATGGCCGTTCCCATCTCCAGTATCAGCTCTTTTTTTAATACTTATGTAATATATATTTTTCGACTTGATCTGTTCTGTAGGTCGGTCAAGAAATCGGTATTATTCGTCAATTTCCGTTTAGCTCAAGTTTACAGTGTATGAGTGTTATAGCTAAACATTTGTCGTCCAATTCAACAAATGTGTACACCAAAGGCGCACCAGAAAAAATCTTAAGCCTGTGTAATCCGAGTTCTATTCCGTCCGATTTTGATCAAGTATTACAACGATTTACCAAACAGGGATATCGGGTGATTGCAGCCGGTTACAGGGCATTAAAGAACAATTTGAGTTACGTGAAAACTCAAAGATTAACCAGGGAACAAGCAGAATGCAATTTGACATTATTAGGATTGATCATTTTGGAAAATAGACTAAAGCCAGAGAGCGCCGGTGTATTGGATACTTTACGTTCTGCAGACATTAGAATAATTATGGTCACTGGAGATAATATGCTGACAGCTTTAAGTGTCGCAAGAGATTGTGGTATTGTTTTGTCGACAGAAGATGTTATCTCTGTGCACGGAACTACTGTGCCACCTTATTTATATTTTAGTGCAGCTGATATGGCTGTTAACCAGACAATCAATTCAAATTCAATTGTAAGTAGTATTTCAAGTACCTACCTAAATGGATTATCTAATTATATTAATTACTAATTATTATTAACTAATTGATTTTTGTAGAAACTAAACCCTGTAATTTCACCGACTTCTGCAAACTTCAATATGGATATGTTAGAAGCTGGACTATTGAGCCCCCCAAGTACAACTGCTAATACGCCAATCAAGTAGGTTTTAAATAATGATTTTTATTATAATGGACTAATGTTGATAGTCTTATAGAAATTCTCAAAGATATACATTTGCCTTGACTGGAAAAACGTGGTCATTGCTCAGACAATATTGCCCAGAACTTATACCAAAAATTATTACTAGAGCGTCTGTCTTTTCACGCATGAGTCCTGATCAAAAACAACAACTCGTACAAGAGTTGCAGGGTATTGGATATTATGTTGGTATGTACATTTATATTTGTTAAAATTAAAACTAAACAAAAACCAATAATATATAATTTTTTTTTTGTAAATTAACAGCTATGTGTGGTGACGGAGCTAATGATTGTGGGGCCTTAAAAGCGGCACACACTGGTATATCGCTGAGTGAAGCGGAATCGTCTGTAGCTAGTCCATTTACGTCACGTAAAGCGTCTATTGAGTGTGTTGTAAGGGTGATTCGCGAAGGTCGTGCTGCTTTGGTCACTTCTGTCGGTATCTTTAAATTTATGGCTGGTTATTCATTGGTACAGTTCCTGTCGGTCATCCTGCTTTATTACATCGACAGCAATCTATCAGATTTCCAATATCTGTACATTGATCTGTTTATCATATCGCTATTTGCGTTTTCCATAAGTCGTACACCAGCCTATGAAGGACCTTTGGTCAAACAGAGACCCGAGACATCACTTGTCTCAGTGTTGCCATTGACATCTCTCATCGGACAATTACTGATATCTCTTACAATTCAGTTGATCAGCTTCGTAGCGATTCGATATTACAACTGGTTTGTGCCATACAAACATAGTGAAGATGAAACGTCATTAGAAAGTTATGAGAACTATGCTGTGTTCAGTGTATCAGCATTACAATACATAATTATTGCTCTAGTTTTTAACAAGGGACCACCGTACAGACAGGGTTTAAAATCAAACTGGTGTTTATCCATCATATCAGTAGTTATGGTAGTGTTTACCATTTATTTATGCATTTCACCGTTTGAAAAATTAAGATGCATGTTTGAACTAAAAATTCCTCCAAACTCCTTTTTTTATGTATTTTTAATACTAGGGTTGACAAATTTGACACTGGCAGTATTACATGAAAAAATACTGTGTGACCGTTTACTCGTCAAATTTTTAAGTTCTCGGTAAGACAAAAATATTTTATTATTTATCACTGTAATATATAATTAAATATAAACAAGCTGTTGTTCATTCTAGTTCTCATAAGAATAAAAGTTGGTTAAAGTCTTACGCTGGGGTTGAGCATGAGCTTCAGAAAATGTCAGATTGGCCTCCATTGAGTAACGATCGTTTCTGTTCATCTTCATCGTCACCATTTTCGTACACTTCTCCTGAACATCTATCACCAACTGTTCGTTCAATAGTGCAACCCAATGGTATTGCATATTACTAATTATTATGAATATTATCATATTATTTTGAAATTTCAAATAAATATTTTTTTATTAATTTAGGATGTTCAGTCGGGAATGGTGTGAATTCGGTACATCATCGTTTTCATTCAGAAAGCGAAGATTCAAATTATGCTACTCCTGCTGGTAGTTTACAACACATTTGATGAGTGTTTTTTTTTTCCGAACAATATTTGTACTTAAGATAGTTACCCGTAGATTTTTTTTTTTTTACTTTAGAATAGTGTTTATTTTGTACGTAAAAATATTTCAAAGTAATATTATATTTTCATACATTACTTTTGTCATGTAAATTTTTTTAAAAAATTTTTATTACCATTTACACTATGATCTATACAGCGGTTGACTTGGGAGAAGTGTAAGGGTACAATGAATAGCCCAGCTAAAAACTCTATTTCAGCATACGCCTACTTAATTTTTAGCAGTATGGCATAAGATAGTTTTTATTTTTAATAATAAGCCAATGACCCGTTGCAACATACTTTATAGTATGATAATAATTATTTCTAAAAAATATTTTATTTAAAAATAAACAAATTTGTATTTATTTAAACAAAAATTAGTAATACTTCTAAATAATAACTAAAATGACTACACATTACTAAGAATTGTATAGGTTTTGTTAATTATAGAAGTTTTCAATAATATTTTCTAGGCAAGTAGGAGTCTCATATTTATATCCTGTGCCAGTCATCATTTTAGAAATCCAGCTTTGAGATACACATAAACTTATTCATCTACTTGTGTATTTAAATTTTCAGATTTCTATGTGGTCATAGATTTGGCTGTGAATCACCCACAGACAAACAGCTAATACTTTATTTTTTAACATTGAATCAGTTTTTTTTTTATATACTGTATATTTCTATAATACAAAATTGGTGGGGTAAATTCAATTCTAGTATAGCTATGCTGTTTTTTTTTGTTATATCAAAGAACCCTAAATATTTTTTTCCCAAGTCTACCAATAGGTCTACATAATTATTGATTACGACACAACTCTTATAATGTATTCTGTTTTTAGCAAATTAAAGGTCAAAAATAAGTATTTTATGTTAATTAATATTTTTTGAATGTAACTAACAGTGTTTTATTAAAAACTATACAGCTAGCTATTTTATATGAAAACAAAATATTAATTATATAATTTTAGGAAATGTGTATGTGTCTTAATTAGTTTTTTGTCAGTGCAGTATTGTTGGATTATTGAGTATAATATTATGTATTTTTTTTTTTGTTAATAAATTATTTTAATGATAAATAAATTGCAGTATTGGGATTATTTAGTTTATTTTAATTACCAAACACCAATATACTTGATAAAATAATGGTAAAAAAAGATAAATTTTACAAATAATTACAAACCTTTGTTATAATATTATTTCATTGTTTATTTACTTAAAAAAAAAGAAATTTACACGATAATTACATTTTATTATAACTTACTGATAATAAAATATAAATATTGAATACAGTTAACATAATATATTTAAACAGACAATACATAATGTTATGTATACAATAATAATTACATACACAAAAGGATTTGTTTACTTACAATAATTTATATTTGATAAATATATATATATATAATATAATATATATACATATATATTTGTTTAGTATAAAAAACATTTAGGAGATTGTTTAATTTTAACATTAGATAACAGAATAAGAGTTTCACTGACCAGTTTTAGTGAGCAAATCATCATTTTCATTTTAAACAAAAATTTTACTCTGAAGTAGTATTTGCCAATGATGTAATTACAACGCAGGAAACTTTCGATATAATATTGTTTGATATAAGCAACAATCACAAAATACCATTAGTGTAGTATTGGAAACCGTCGTACAGTTTAGTCGTGATAGAATGCAATGATGACCCGACCATGTTGTCAACAAGAGCCACAAGTTGAGACTCTGTTAAATTCAAATGGAAACGACATTTCAAAGAACCAACAACTGCTGTTGCTCCAGCTCTAAAACATGGTAATTGAGAGTCTGTAAAAAAATAAATAAATAGTTAACGTAATTAGAATTTTATATTAATTTTTTAAAAGATTTCAAATTTTTCATACTAGCAGATTGCATAATTTGTACAACAGACAAAACTCTGTCCATGTGTTTACGTGAAGCAATTAAGCCGCGAAGTATCAGCAGTTTAAAGTAATTGAAACCCTCTGAATTAAGACCACCCATTACATCGACCATTTCTGATGTTAATTTGAAGGGCGAACTTTCGAATCCGAGATTTTTTGGTGACGCCGACAATATAAATCCAAAATCAATGTGTATAAGATTACCTTGATTATCTATCAGAATGTTTCCATTATGCCTGTCTTTTACTTGTATTAAGTAACAAACAAGTGAATAAGCAGCACAACTTTCAATGAAATTTTGTCTCGCTTCCATTAGTGAATTTCCTTTGAATTCATTTTCAAAGTATGTCAATAGAGAATTTTTATTTTGTTTTTTGATCTGATGTAGAGAGATAGTATTCAAAACCGGTTCTATTAGACCAGCGTCATTTGATAAACATAAAATTTTGTACGGAAACACTTTTAACGGTACTTGTTCTGTTATCCATATACTGTGTAACGTTAGTAAAAGTTGTGATGCGAGAAGTTCTTGTCTAAGATCATCACCAGTTTTTACGATCACAGGCAAGAGCTTCCAGTTAGCAAGTCCACCATATGGTGATTTTTCCCTGACACGTTTTTCTTTTTCCGACCAAAGTTCTTTGAGCGCAGCTGCAGATGGATCTTCAGGATCAGTGGGCGAAGAGCTCTTAATGTCTGTAGAAACAGTTAGACGACGTCTAATGTCACCGGCCACAATAAACATGTTTTGATTGTTTACTTCAGGCTTGGGATCTTCAGATTCACACCGAGTAAGATTTTCTTCGCTCCGAGTCTGGCGTAGATTCGATACTCGAGTAGTCAAGGGAGATCGTTCAGCATCTTCCACTTCAGCTACCTCCACGTAAATAATAAATGGTGCCTAAAACATAATTGAACCTAACATTACTAATTATTAAAAAAAAATAAGGGATGAGAAATCATTGCAGAGAAACCACCTCTTTTAATGGACACCTCCCAATAGCAGATACTGTTAGTCTTTATTTAAAAAAAGTGACAAAATGACAGTATTATAATGCATTCAAATTAGTATGTACTCTCCTAATAATGTAATAATAATATTTAACTCGAAAAAATTACAAATAGCGAATTTCTATTACAGTGGATTATTATTAAAAATAAAGACTGCATTAGGTTTAACAATAATAAAATCGCTCAACAAACTTGTTATCTAACAATATAAGATTACGATGACTAATGATAATAACAACATAATTTAATTTACACAGTGCAAATGTTTTCATTTACACATTATCCTTTATGAATTTCAAAAATTTACCCCTCTGAATAATGGGTAAAAATTTAGCAACCAAGGGTGTCCATTATTCAGATATTTCTCTATATTTATAACTAGGGCTGTGAAATATAGAACAAATTTTTTTTAGTAGTTTAGAAAACTTATTTTGTCTTTAAAGATAACTTCATATTTTTAATTTAAACGAGCTGTATACAGGGGGATTCTTTTATCGTTGAACACTCATTATTTTGCAAAGTAAAATTTAAAAAAAATGTTTTGATAATTTAAGAAACGAGCTGATCTAGAATTTTACATTACCATCATTTTGTCTCGCCCTTGTTTTTGGGGGCTTGATTAACTTTTAATTTACAAAATAATGTGTTAAAACGATAAAAAAAAATTACCCTGCTATGTCATACTTATATTTTATATTGTTTTAAGTTACTTAACACAAGCTGTATGTTTGTGTGTATGTATTTATTTATTTGTAAACGATTAGGTTATTTAGATATTTAGTATATTAACATTATTAAGGCTTTAAAATGCATTTTTAAGATTTTAAAGTACAATAAGTTTACAATCATTATGTATCACCATACAAAATGAGAACCCTTGTGAATTTTATTTATACATGACCTCTACTTTCTATTTTTTTAAAAAAAAAATTGCGTTTTATTATTTACAAAAAATATTATTTATGCAGGGAATTTAAAGCACTATTATTTAATAATGATATGATAACAACAATTTAAATAAGTGAAAAAAATTACATATTGTATACTATTTCTAGAATTTAGATTTGTCAGTGACAAATAATAAACATTTATTGTAGATGAGGCAACTACATTTTTTATTTATATAGAACATTGGTATTTAAAAAATATAAGTTTTCTTTCTACATTGAATCATTAATATAGTTTTTTAGTATTCTAGAATAATAATATTATAAAAAATTTTAAAGACAATTATTGTTGTGAATCATTAAAAATTAATAATAATTTCTGTAAACATGTTAATACAATTCAAATATTTTGTTTTATATCTTTTAGTAAATATAATTACTAAATAATTAAAGTTAAAAATAATAAATTAATTTTGTATAGAAATTTTACTTTGAATATTGTTAATCATATACATCCAGATCCTGTAGCTATACTCAATTTAAAAAAATCAATTTACTTTGTCTTTAGAATTCAAAATAGCTGCAACACGTGGAGGAATCGATAAAACATGATGATTACAGTTGTACAATGGTATCCAGACTTTGGCAGGCAAATTCTTGTTGATCAAGCTCAATTGACTATAAAGATATGTAGTTCTCGCTTCTCTAGTAGGTTGTTTGGCCAAATCACGACCGAGAGTTGTTAAGCATTTGATAAATTCTACTTCGGAGCACATTCTTGGAGCCTACACAAAAATTTATAAATTATATATTACCTAGGTTAAGTAATATTTGATTTGTTTCAGATATTTGACTTACGCCACAACGACATTCAGTTATTTGTTCAGTGCAAGTACATCTATTATCAAATGCCATACCAGAACTTAAATCCCCTAAAAAATTTCTTTCTTTAACTAAAATAGAACAGAACAAATTTTTACTTATAATTCATAGTTGTAGATATTAGTTTTCTAGTTAATTTATTGGTTTTAGTTTTAATAATATGTAAATTACCAATTTGAACTCCATTTACATTGACCATTGAACTATCTGATCTAGACCTACAATGAGTCTTTTTAGTTAATAGGTTGAACGAATCCATAGGGGTCGATTCATTTGGTCCCTGTTTGTAATGTTCATTGAGAATTGTACTGATCAATTGCCCACCTCGAGATTTCGATTCCACATTTAAATCGTGAAAGGCATTCAACAACCATGCACATTTAATTGAAAAATCACATGATTTGCGACACCTGAAATAATATTGAAAATTATCAAAAAGTAATGACAACACAAATTGTTAACATACCTATGTACCAAATATGGATCTATAGCTTCTGCTATATCGTCCATTTGTATATACATGCTAATTAATTGTGGCAAGAAAAAATCAACAGAATTATCATCAAAACTAAACAATTTATCACCTGAAAATTTATATGAAATTTATATAAACAACTAGAATAATCAATTTAATTTGAATATCGTTACCTATATAACGTTGAACACCAGGTTCTTTTGAATTGAAAAGATACATGATGGCCATTGGCATATCGAAAAGTTTGGATTCAATAAGTCTGAGCAGAAAACTCTTTGAAACTTTGTCGAATGTCTGACCATTGCAGCCTCCTTGTTTGGAAGGGCTGGGTTCCGAGCAGCTGAGACTCTCTCGACTACAGCTGCTCGTTATCTCAGAGCTATAATAATTTATAACTATATGACAATTATTATTTGTTGTGATTTCGATAAGTAAACAGCAATTACCTTCCAATGCCTGAATCATCTGAATGGATGTGTGAGTCAGACGTTGGTACACATATCGGTTCGGGGCATTCAGGGCTTGGTGTCACGTCCACTTCTGGTATTTTAGTAAGAACAGAATCCAAACTACGGTTTCGATGGTGGGACGGATGATTTATGGGTGGTAAAACAATACCCATTGACCTTTTCATTCAACACAGAAAATAGAAACAAATTGTTTTGTGAAATTTTATATAGCTGTGTGAATAAATTTTATAATTCAAATTGTATTACTCATTCCCATTTATTTTAGTGTTGGTCATTGAAAATTTAAAGTTTGGTAAGCCAATTAATACATTTGATAGTAAATTGTAAAATAAGTATAAACATAGATACCTATCTACTTATATCAAAATAAATAAAAACAATTGTTAATGGAATAATACATTAAACTTAATTATATTTAATACCTAGGTAGGTATTTATTTTATTTACATCAAAATTGATGTTCGAGTACCAAGATTCTCTAATTGGTACATATTGGACAGATTTAAAAGAAAAAAAAACATAAAGGAAAATCAGAATATTATAAATCGAGTAAGTCACATCATACCGAAAGTCAAGGCTAAGGTTCCTTTGGTGATTGCTATTTCTGTGTTTGCTAAATTCCGGCCGACCATGTACGGGAGTTACAGATGTCGTAACGGCCACTTTGGTTGATGCGTTTTCATACATTCCGTTAAATTATCTATATTTATTTGAGATTATTCTAAAAATTATAAAATAACAATTAGCAATAGGTAGTTAAGGAAATAACGTACACCGGAGAACGTTAGCAAATAACATTTACTTTCAGATTGAGTCCATTACAAGGCCGAAACCAAGAATACGTAGTAGTAGTAGTAGTAGTTGACTATACGATTCATCGACGAATTGTAAAACAATTAGTATCTATCATAATAATACCAATATATTTTAATGAATAACGTAATGATCGATCTTAAGGGAAACATCAATAAATAATATACATTGTATTTATATTGTTTGAGTTAAGAATTTCAAAAATGCCAAGTACACAGAAAAAAAGGGCGTTTTTAGTCATAACAAATGTTTGAGGTTATACTCTGGGTAACCAAATGATGTTATCTGTTGTTTATGGTTAATGGTTATGATATGAAATAAATATTGACGAACAGACGAAGACAAAATAGGTAAGGTACCTATAATAATAATAATAATAAAATACATTATACATTTTTCTTTCACTTTTAAAATTCTAACACATTTTGTATGGAACACTATCAAAGTGTTTGTTCTATGTATTAGTACGTAATTATTGTTTTGTTTTTATTTTTCATAGTTAGTGATCGGTGCAATGGATTTGTCTGGATTTTGTCGGTTCTGTTTGACAGACGACGATGCAAAAACCGTAATTATAGAAGATCCCGACGGTCTAGTAGAGAAAATAAATATATGTTTACCAAACAAAGTAAGTCGTATATTACGTATGTATGTATGACAAATGAACTATGAACTGTGCGTAATTAATACCTATTTCTGTCTTATTTAGTTTTCAGAAGGAGATCAATTTCCGAAATTGATATGTAATAGTTGCCATAGAAAACTTTTGGAAACTTACAATTTTTTTATGTGCATCCAAGAAACTGAAAATCATTTTCGTGGCATCTTAGATCTGATGGTAATAATTTTTAATAAATACAATTACATGGTATTATATACCCACTTAATTTTAATTTTATAATTTAAGTATTAATTTTCGAGCATATATATTTTATATGCCTTGCTACAAATCTTGTAAGCAAAAGGCAGAATTGAATATTTAAATTAATCATTCTTTTAAAGTTTTCTTAACAATAATTTCTAAGCATATTATTATCACTACTATTAATAATTTTTTTTTTTCAAAAATAAATTCTTTTCTAATAGCTTATTTATTATTATATTAATATTAATATAATTGATATTACACAATGATGCAATAATATATTTTTATTTTGGTAAAGGTTTCTTATTAGAAAAAATTATATTTAAAGTGGGTTAATGGTGTGTAGGTTCTCTGAGTATTGACCTTTTCGGTAAACTCAGCTTTTCTTGGAAGCGTTTTTCAAACACTACTTATAATAAATGCATTATAAATTTAGGACTCGTATCCGTATACCATGAAAATAATTGTATTATGCATTTATTTTCTTAATATTTATATACATTTACTTCATAAAGAATAATACAATATGGAATGCAATGACTGGATATCATATGAGAAACTTTATCAGTTGCATAAATATGTTGTTCTATTTATGTATAATCAGTATAATGACACAATTATTGGCGATACACCTGTGCTATGTTTATTATAGGCAAACAAAATAAAGATAATTAAATTCCCGAAATTTACCATGACTATGGAACTTTTATACAATATAATATGTTTATTACTTATAATATTATATACACCAACCATAAAATGTTCACTTTACACTAAATGTTTCAAATTCTACTGTTATCTATTAAAAAATTTTAAAATGCAAATTTTTTGAACCCCAGTCTCTATTTTAATTTTTTTTTTTTTTTAGATTCGGAGCATAGCAAGGGATCTATTGGTTTTACTATTGTTTTTTTTAACACAGGCCATTTTTAGAAAATTCATTATTTTAACCCAAAAATTGAAAAAAAAAAATTAATGGCATTTTAGCAAGCTTTAAGATTTCAATTTTATCTACAATTTTTTTTTTTAATGAAATGTTAAAGCATTGATAGTTACAATATTTAAAAAAAAAAAATGTTAACTGTGTCACTGTCTTATACAAAGATTTTTTTTTGCAATGTTTGTTTGCTTTATAACGTTTTAAACTTGTTAGTACCTTATTGAGTTTACTTATTTAAATATCTTGGGGTGTTAATATATTTCCATTTCGTCTTTTTAAATAGGTAATTACTTATTTGTATGTTTAAGGCTTAAAGTTAAAAGATGTAATGCAGCGTTGTGGAAGATGATATATGTTCTGCAATATTAGTGGGATTCATTGCTCACTGATTATTAAAAATGTATAACTTGTGCACATATTTTTATTTTCAGAGTCAGCCACCAAGTAGTGATTGTGATAATATAGAGCCTCCTACTACCAGAAGGTAGATAAGTTACTATTATTAAAGGGTTGGACTCAATGGCGGTCAAATAATTTATCATGCGGGAAGAAGTCATGGGGGGGTGATAAGGATAGTTTTCAAGAACTATTATTATCTACACAATCTGTTTTTATATCTAAAGAAATATAATATAATATACAGGGTTATTTCTTAAGTATACTGACACAGCACACCTCATTTATATAGTTATAAATTATGCATGCATTCAAATTCTGTTTTTAGAATTTTTTAATTGAACAATGATATTTTTGCACACATTTTTCACGACGTTAAATGTTGTAGATTTATTTTAAGGAGAATCCTGTGATGATAACAACATTAGTGTTTCAAATGAACACCTACATGTTTTAATGCAAATCATCTAAATCAATGATTTTTTTTTTTTCAAAATTTTGACATTGTATAAAAATGTTTCAAAGTTATTCTGATTTAAATACTAAGGATAACATTGTTTTACATGGATTGGATACCAATTGTGTATAAATAATTTCTTGTTTTGAATTGTGCAGTTATTATTCTTGAGTATTTTAAAGTAGAATAACTCTGACATTAACTGTTTGAATTTCGATTAAAATACGTCAACATTTTTAGATAAATCACCTGATAGACAATTTATATTAAAACTTGTAGATTCTCATTAGAAAAACCAAACTTGGTATTGTCACAGGATACTCCTTAACTATTGTAAAAAACTACATGTTTGAAAATATTGTCTTTCACTACGCTTAAAAATTCCAAATATCAGGATTTCAATTTATGCATAATTTAACTATAAAAATAGAATGAGCACTAAGTATGATTAAAAAAAATCACTCTGTATAATTATTCTAAATATTCAAGAAAAATAACTTAATGGAAGCGATACGCCCCCCCCCCTGTTTGACCGTCCCTGGTTGGACTTTTGACCACTCAAATTCTTTTTAGTCAATTTGCCAGTCTATTGTGATCAATTAACACTACATTTTTTTATTTTTTTTTTATTTTTTTACTTAAATAATTTATATTCCTGAAATCTAAAGTGCATTTTATTATTTTTAATTTTTATTAGAACTTTCCAGAGATAGGAAGTATTGAAGATTAAACTGATTTCAAATTTTGTGAAAATTCTAAATTTTACTATTCTTTAACTATACGAATCAGAAAGTACTAGCATTAATAGTACTAATACTAATAGTTTACTGTATTTAATAAAGTAACAGTGCAGCCAATGTCATGACAGTAAAATAGTTCCAATTATTTGTGGTTCATTGAACTTATTTTGACAAATCAAAATCTTTCCAAGTGCCAGCCCTTTTTTTATATTTAAACATTTCACTATTCAAAATTCTAATTAATATTTTTTTTTACTTAGTAAAAGAAAGTCTGGACCTTGTAAACGGTTACCTGTCGTTAAAACTCAAAAGAAAAATGCTCATGCCGAGGTAGCTAAAAAAACTGATGGCAATATTGAAACTGTAAACGATTCAAATGATAATTCAACAGAAGAATCACAAGATAAAACTGTGCATACATGCGAAATATGTGATCGGACATTTCAAAATCTTTTGGCGTTCAACACTCATGTTCTAAACCATAATAACGAACCTCCTACTATTTCATGTGAGTCGTGTGGTTATACCACACAGCATCGATCTTCCATGTATCGTCATCAAAAACGCCATTTGAAACAATCTAAGTACACTTGTCCTGAGTGTAATAAAAACTTTATTACGGAAACTTTACTCGAGGAACATAAGAATAAACACACTGGTGATAAACCGTTTAAATGTGATTCGTGTACAAAATCGTTTTCACTGTCTCGATACTTGGCAACTCACATGCGTCTTATTCACGGTGACACAGTGTCGTATGTGTGTACCCAATGTGGTCGTAAGTTTGATGATCGCAGCTCACTGGCTCTGCACCGCCGAACACATAAGAGAGCAATGTCTTGTTTGTGCGATATATGCGGAAAAGAATTGTCCAGCAGAGAACATTTAAAATTACATAAACGTTTGCATACTGGAGAGAAACCCAACGTGTGCAGTTTTTGTGGCAAAGGTTTTGCTAAACAGTGTACGTTGGTTTTGCACTTGAGGACTCATACTGGCGAAAAACCATATCAATGTGACCAGTGTGGTAAAACTTTTTCACAGCGGTCTTCTTATGTTATTCATTATAGAAAACATACCGGTGCTAGACCATATGTTTGTGCTTGTGGTAATGGTTTTGTTTGCAGAGCTATGTTAACTGCACATGAAAAGACGTGCGCCTTTGTTTTTCCTATCAATATGTATCAAACTATGTATTGAGTAAATTGTTATTTTTCTTTATTCAATTTATTATTATTATTCTCGGAAAATGTTATTGTTATGTATATAATTTTATTTACCCATATATGCAATATTATGTGTGCCCATACCAAGTGTTTTCTTTATGTTCTTCATTGTTATACAATTTTTTTTTAATATTTTAGTCTGTCATACTTTACATTAAATCAGTGTTTCCCAACCAGTAATTTGTAGTCTTCTCATATTCTAATATTTGAGAAAAAGGCAGTTCTAAATTTGGTTTATTAGCAAAAGGAAAAAAAAAAAGGTCTCCCTAAAATTGAGGTGGTCCATAGTATCTAAAAGTTCTGGAAACACTGCATTAAATGAAATGATGGCTCATATATTTATAATTCTTTGCATAGTTTATCACTTATAATTCTCATATAGTTAAACAAATAAAATATTTAATATCTATTAATATTGTTAAAAAGTCATTATTTTAGACAATTTTCAAAAAATAATTAAATATGTAATATATTAATTTTGAGGGAATTGGAATTGTTTTCTATAATATAATATTATTAATATTTAATTACAATTTTAAATTATATAGTCATGAATGATATGTATAACTTGATTACCAATTATTATTATTATTATTATTATTATTATTATTATTATTATTTATTATTGAAAATGAAATGCAATTATCGTTTTATGTAATATTATGCATTGTGTGTGTGTGTGTGTCCTTAGATCCGTCCTGTAAATATATTATATTAATATACTGTTGAAGTGACACTCCGCTTTATCTTAGTTTAATAAATGGTCACAAACAACGTATAATAATATTATGTATGAATTATTACATTTCCAGCCTGGTGTTGCCTGTTCAAAAAAAAATAATATTTATTTTTTTTGTTCTGTTTGATTTAAATTTTTTTTTATTTCCACCCTATCAGAAAGATAGTCTATAAATCCACAAAATTAATGAGATTTCCATACCAAAAGTATCAATAATCCTGTGTCGACTACTTTTTTAATGATTTGATTTAGGGTGGGGGGGTAATCTAAGTTATTCCTGGGCTAGAACTACATTTATACAGTTTTAGCTCAATCCATTCAATAATTTTACCAGTTTGCGTGATAATAAACATGCATCCAAACCAACTTCCTTATAATATATAATATTAGTAGGACAGTAATTATATTTTTTACAAAAATCCAAACACTATCAACAATATTTTATCATGAACCAGCAATTACTTCGGAGGATTTTAAGTGAATTTGATTTCTGTTTTTTCTATTCATCAAATAGGAGCTCCCCTTTTAAATAGAGAATATTTTCCTAGAAATTTTAATTAGCATCAAAAGGTAGCTCCTATTTGAAACTCAAAAGTATGCACTTATTTAAGGTACATGGAATAAAGGTAAAAAATTAGAAATGGCTTTAAAATAAAGTTTAAACAATTCCATGATGATTAGAAAAAACAGAAATCAAATTCACTTAAAATCCTCTGAGGTAATTACTGGTTCATGATAAAAAAAGTCACCTGTAGATTAAAATAATAATAATACTCACAATGGTGATTTTGTGTTTTTGTTTTACAAGTAGAAGTATTTAATAATTTAAAGCTGTGTACATTCCATTATTTCAAATCGGTTAATCTTCGTGGGACAATCTGCATTGCAAACGTGTCTTTACCTTGAATGTTACCTATTAGTTTGAAACCTCAAGGATTAGAACATGTTTTGTTTTATTTTGTACTGTGTTTAGATATTTGTTGAGCGTAACCAGGGTGTGACCCCCCCCCCCCCCTAAAGTCGGTGACTGTAATTTCCAGTCGGCATTTTATAGCTTTCACAAGACCTGTAATACCTAAAATTTTAATATTTTTATAAATAAGTTTTCTCTTAAATTAACGATTATTGTAAATCAACCAAAGACGTAGCTGACAAAGTGGATATACCAGTGGATCCTAATTTTTAATCCGCGCATTAATAAGACAATACAACTGCGTACCCTTTATTAGCCTAAGGCTAGTTAGAAAATGCATCGAAGAGCGGTTCCAGCTACCGTTTCCCAATTCGCATAGCCGTCTGCCTACAGTTCAACCGCTGTCGGGTGGGTAACCCCTGGCTTATATAAAAACTATCCAACGAAACTCATAGACCCGTTCGAAGCCAACCGCACGACGCTAGTCCGCGGCCGACACCGGGGCTCCGAAGACCACCCGGACCACTTTCCATAAAATGTCAAAAGTCGGACATACTTCGACACCCAACCATCGACGGAGCAGATGATCAGTCCACCCCGGAGGCAGCCAGGAGTCTATCGAATCGCGTTTGACAACACAGTCTCCGTTGCCAGAGGTAAGTGGGTCAACCGAGGACATCCCACGGTGCGTACGACCTGACGGCCGAAACGCGCGAAAAGATCCGCGATTAACCACGCGGAGAGCCGAACCCGTAGTCTCGGTCTCTGGCCGGATACAACCTCAATGAAGAAGTACCGACACTCGCCCGCCAGCGAGAATATGCACTTGTTAGCTTCGCGTCTGCGGATAAATCCTCGACGCAACTAATAACTGTAACCGCGAAGAGGTCCGTGCCATCGAGCGGGACCTGGTAACGAATTATTAAAGCAGGTCCCCCGGTCCGTCCAAGACAGCACAGGCAAAAAACCAAGAAATTAATCCCAGCATGTACCACTGGCCGTAGTGTCTACAGATGATAAAGTGATAACAGTCGGCAGATATTATGGTATAAATTGTTCATACTTGAGGCAAAACAAACAAATTGGGACCCACCCAATTAAAACATGGAATTTTTATCGATTTCCTACAAATAATTACAGCAAATTTTATTTGGCTATATATATTGATTACATAATTTAGGCTATCATATTCGTTAGTAGGTTATATTAATAGTATAGATAATGTATAAAACTAAAGACATCTCTGAACTAGTCAATCTCAATCCACATTTAACATATTTGATCAGCTACCTACACATCCATTCTAGTCTCGAGGAAATGGCCTCTCAAAAACCTACTTCGACAAGCCACTGAACCCGAACCTATTAATGAACTTAATATATCAGATTTATACCCGTATTGTTTCTTGTTCACGCTAGCAATAAAAACCACGCAATGCAGTTGGTTTCCATATTGTCTGGGAGGTATACTGAATTGATATACATCAACTACATGTGTATTTTATACTCTATGTTATAAAATTAAAAAAAAAAAAAAATATTTGTATTCAAATACCTACTTTTTGAGTATTCGTAAAATACATTTTTAAAAGTATTTTTATTACCTACCTTTTTATGCGAATAATATAGTATGCACCTATTAGTATTTTTTTCAGAAGTATTTTTACAAGACTGATAATCATTAAATATGTACTATTTTTAGATAAGTCATGTTGATTATTATTACTATATTAGGTAGGTACATGTTTCATACACTTGATTCATTTAATTATCTATTGTCTGTTCGATAGCAGGTGTATTATTCCGAATTACATAGATATTTGGATGTTTGGATAGTAGCACCTAAACGAGTTGTCATGATATAAAGTACGTATTACGAATTTTCGAACATTTTCCAGTAAGCGAACAAGTGATTGAGCGGCCAAAATATTATTTGAAGAAAAAAAATTCGATTTCATACTTCGTTACACGGGTGGACCATTGTTTTGGGCGAGAAGTTGGGAAGGTTGGATACAATAAAGGGTAGGCGATTTAATTTATATCGATAGATAGCAACGATAAATCATTGAAATTGAATTGAAAAACGGCCATTATCGACCGCGTGCAATTGCCCATTTCAATCTATGCTCGCCACGCCACTGAATTACTAGGTACTTTTTTATCAAAAAAAAAAAAATAATAATAAACAAATTTCCGTGTATAATAATTTAATATAGGTTTATACAGTATATTTTATTATAATTTTCTTCGTCGCGGTATAAGTATAGCAGCAAAATGACGGATAATTTATACTATTAGAACATAATTATTATGACTGCGGTAGGACGGTATAGGAAGGTAAATGTTTTTTGGTTTACGTATCTAGTGGAATTATCCGTTAACTTCCAAACCATGCCGTTAACGCTGTAATCAAACATAAATATACAAAATTTAACAAAAAAGACCACAAAAATAAATACTTCTGTTTTAAAATAGATACCTACCTATTATTAGCGAAAAATAATTTTACATTATGTTATAAGTATATTCGAAATTCCATCACGTTTTCCAAGGGGGGAGGAGGTCAATAACGGTTGTAACCCCCCTGATTATACACTGTGATGAAGTAACGGCGATGGGTATAGGCTGAAAGCAGCCAAAAACGAGAGTGGGTCCTTGTTCTTGCCTTCCAAAATTTAACTAAACGATGGATCTGTTGGAGGGTTGTTGGATATCAAAATATTTAAATTGCGTTGAATTATGGAATATGATCATACGATTGCATAATTGTTCATACAAAAGGTACCTCATCCCCGTCATAAATTTAAATCGTTGCAAATAAGAAGTGTATGAAGAAATAGGATTAATATAAATATAATGGTAAAATCGAACTCTGAACCCGTCGAGAATTGTGTTGAAAACGTTAAATTTCGGAACTAAGATCAATTAATACATATTTTATTATCGAATCATTGAGTTGTGGATTGACACACGAATTGATCACGCGTTTTGCACGGGATAAAAATACGATAAAGAAGTAAACGTCGATATAAAATCGTAAAAAAGAATAAAATATTATATACTCACTCCATTTGTCACCGTAAAATATCGGACAGGAACCGTATTGGGCGTTCTCGTAAAGCATACCGAACGGCGTGCAAAGGTTCCTTGTGTTGTATATGACCAACGCCGATCCCTTGATGCTTGGCACCCGCACGTTTACGTCCGGTAACACGGTGAACCCGCCTTCGGGCACGTCGTCCAACTATAAATTATTAGACTTTTAGAGAATATACTAAACACGTGTATATGATATGTTGTGCCAGTTTAAATTGGAAATTGTTGGATGGGTATTTGCAGTTATTCGGGTCGCATTACCAATCGAGGGGGAGCGGTAAATCTTTTTTGGGGATTGAATTCGGTTTGAAAACTATACAGGCACTTTGGTCTTCTTATTTTCGTTTGCATTCATCCCATCTATTAAGAATCAGCAACCATCGTCTTAAATTTCCAATTTTCCGTATCGTCATTGCGTACACCCGCCGTCCTCATACCATTCTCAATCGCACCAACAAACTTTTCGGTTTTATTCTACCCTTCTTTACTCCGAAATTTATTTTAATTATCATTCTTACTACTTTTGATTCCCCTTTCCAAATGATATGCTCAAACTATCTCAGTCTATTTCCTCTCATTTTGTCTTTTGTTGAAGCCACGCCTAAGCTAACTCTTATGTACTCATTCCTTATCTCATCTTCTCTCGTTACTCCGTTCATCCACTTAATCATTCTTATCTACATTCTACACTTATTCTGTGTTCTATTTTTCTGTTCACCACCCACCACTGAACCACACTCTTGTGGAACTTATTACCCTTAACTTCCATAAGAATTCTTTTGTCGCATAAAACATCTAGGTATAACGCTTCTCTCCACTTTATCCAACCTGTACACAATTCCAATATTTCATATCCTTGTCAAAGCCACCGTTCTTTTATAAAAACTAGCCTAATTACAGGCACTTAGGTATAGTTTTTAAAATTTATTTCGACTAATTACAAAGTTGCTTGTTTATTATTTAAAATATCTATACTTTGGTGATTGTATAATTCATTTCAACTTAATATTTTTAAAAATTTCAAATTTTAAACGTGTTTTTTGAGTTATTTGTTTTAAAACGTTCGTAATACATACCCTGTCATTTTTAAATTGATTTTATAAAGCGAGAAATTAATAAAAAAAAAAACCGAACGGATATATTTCGCACAATCGTTGGGTCACTGTAGTAGGTGAGAACTTGGAAAGGTAGAGGATAAATTTAATATAAATTTGTACACACAAATTAACCATTGCTAACAAAAAACGATTCTAAGCGAGGTTCGACTATACATGTTTTGAAAGGCCGTAGTGTTTACGATTTTGAAAATAATACATTTCGTAAATTTTCTCGTAATTCCTGTTTTTTCCCGGTTTTTTTTTCATTTATTATAAAAATTCTTGGGAAAATAAAAAATTTATCTCCCTACCCCAGTACTATCTCAGTCCCATTTTTTTTTCAAAAAAATTGCTACACTTTAAAATCGAAGCAAAATTTCTGGCAGAAAAGTCGTTCACAGATTAAAAAATTATTTACATGGATTATAACTATGGCCTCTCGATTTGGATAGCTGTTGATCTTATGATCGTTATCTATATATTCGGAGTGCGGTAAGTAGTGTCCGTGGATCCCATAATTAGTCACGACGAATTTGTTTAGAACTTTAGTTTTTGATTTGCATGATATCAGCGCGAGTCGTCGGTGAATTATCTGGAAAACCTCATCACTATATCTGTCAAATTCGGCCACTTTTCTTAGACTTATGTCTTCGTTGGTGTCGATGGGCAATTTTTTCAGCTGTTTTACATATACGTAGAGAATAAGTAATGTGGTGGATACCGTTTTTCATAAAAACAAAAAAAATACCAAAAATGTGACTTTATACCTCAGGTTTCGCTAATTGTTTGATTTTGTTTATTTCATCGTCGTTAAGTACGTTGTGGTACAGTTTAATATTCGGCACAAGCGCTACGTTTTCTTCACGGAGTGGACCGATTAACAACGATTTTTTTCTATTGCCTCCGTAATAGTGGCGGCAAGTGTAACGAAGATGATAATTCCAATTCTGACACGTATCAGTATAACTGCGAACTTCCCCATTGGTATTCAGTTTCTACATTAAAGTACATTAAATATAAATATAAAATATTTCGCTAAATTTGTATGACAGTAAAACAATTTGAGTTTTTTTTAATAATATAGATAAAATCGGAAAAAGTCGTATGTAAATGAGGATTTTTATGGAACAACTGTTTTTGTTAAAATCAATTTTATTTTGTTTTGATTCAGTAAAAAGTATTCTTAGTGACTTAAAATTTCTTCCTAAGACTTATACAAATCTTTAGATGTGGTAAATTTCAAAAATATTTTAGCGTTGACATGTTATTTAAGTTATTAATTGTTATTATATAGGTATAACTTATTTGCAATTTTCGAGTATTTTTTTTATTATTTGTCATTCCGTTATTTATTAATGTTATTTTGAGACATTCTATTCCTAAGTTAGTATTGTGAAAAATATTATTCAATATTTTTGATTTAAAAGTATTCGGAAATTATATTAACAAAAAACCAATATATTTCGCCAATTAACTACCCAAGAATCAGCTATATATCCACCAGATTCCGATAATGAATACAAAAATTAATGATTTGAAACGTTTGAAGCCCTAAATGCTAAAGGCTTCTTTTTACAGATTACGGGGAACGATTTACAAATGACCAATTTTCTATAGGTAGCAATTTAAATAATAATTTTGAATTACATTTCCTAATTGCTTAAAAAAAACACGATTTTTCAATGCAAATAAAAAACATGATTTATTACTATCTCTGTGTTTTAGATGCTTTTAAAATGGTTAAGTTCAGAAAGGGGATATGTTTGACAATTTAAAATGGCTGCTAATGGTGCGTTTATGTTAATTTTTAGAAAATTCCGAGATGATTAATTTGTAAAAAGATGAATAACGTGATTTATTCATTATTACGTCTAGCTCCTTCTTAATCTTGCTTAGACAGTTTTTTTTATATCTTCTGTAAAATTTGATTTTAGATACATGTCTCCTTCTGCAACTAATGATTCAAATATTCTCTTACAAAGCTATAAACTTTGTTTTAACTTTACGTTGTAAAACTAAAGGGAGATAAACAATAAGTGATAAGGGAGTTATAAAATAACTGGTAATAAGTATTTCAGCTTAACATTAATTAGGTTAATAAATTTAGTGCCTCCCCCCCCCCGCCCGAACAATTTGTCTAGCTATGGTACTGTATGTAAGTAATCTTGTTTTAGTAAAATCTCTTTGATATGTCCCCGGTAAAATATTTTTCATATCGAAACTAAATTCTTTGTCACCATGATTGTTACTATAGAAATATTATCTGAGGAAACTTATACATTCGATATTTATAATTTTGTTGGAAGACCGTCATTTGGAAAAAAAAATTGTTATGGGGTCAGCTATCCCATTTGCCCCCGTCCTTGCCCAAGAATTACCTATTAATTTAATGGGTTTGATCAGATTGATGCACAACCTTAAAAAATTGTCATCACCATGCCACCTATACTTACATATATACTTGAATAGACAAAATATATTAGATTTTTTTATAAGTATAATGTATATGTTAATATTACTTTAAATGAGTGCGAATAAAACTTTTTGTCGGTATCGTTCGCTGTGTTTCGTTTAAAAACACGATTTCCATTATATACTATGTATCTAACGTTTGTCAAAATTTCATTCAAATAATTGGTTTGCATGTAATCATTTATGACCGTATTCGCCTTTTCAATATCACCTGTATATTTTTGTGCATAAAAAAAAAATATTTCATACTATAATATATTTATTATTATTCATCAATTTCACATAGTATTTGTATTTATATATATATATATAATTTTTTTTAAGCCGTTCAGAGTTTAGATCACTATCTTGTTAGACATAATCTGCTGTATTTTTCTCGATCTTCTGCCACCTCTTGTCAACTTGAATTCCTGTATTTTCTAATCCTGTGAAGTTTGCAAATCCTTCGTGGCTTCGTAAAACGTAATCTTTTTCGACGATACTCGGTCTTCCAGGTGGTATTTTGCCACTTGGGTTTACTACTATGACTTTTTTTTTACCATTGAGCCTTGTTTACTCTACTCATGACTATCTGCCCATGTATAACTTTTTTTTCTCTACCTCATTCACAATATATGCAGTTCGTTTAGACAGCTAGACAGCACATTTAATTCTAGGTTGTGTCTTTTCCTTTTCCCCTGTATTTTTCAATACACGGCCCATAGATCCGTCATAGAAACTTCTATCAAAAATATGATAGTCTAGATTCTTCTGTTTTTCTCAGTGGCCAGCACTCCAGTCCTGAATACATTCAATCAAGCCAGCCAATCATGGTGATTGGATAATTGTTAAATACAATTGAGTAGGCTAGAATCAAATTCTCATATTCCAAAAGTATAGGAAAATGAGTTAGCGACACTGTTTTATAGAATTTTTAAAGGTGAATGCAATTCTGTAAACAGTTAATATCAAAACGTATAATAACAGAATAAATTTACCCGAAAAGTAGTGATTTGTGTCAAAAATAACGAGTTTCATTGAATCAACGAGTTTTATAGTAACTGAATTAAATTTAACCCATTTAAAAAAAAAAATCATGTAATCCATAATATGGAAACACCATTCACATGATCCATTTTAACTATTATTCCAAATTTTAACATCAAAAAAAAAAAAAAAATAAAAATATTTAGATAAACTCAAATCTTAACTTTTGGTGGCTGTTTTGAGAATTTATGTAGACTAAATTGCATAAGTAAAATGCATTTTGGATATCTTGAATGTAAAGGAAACTCCAATGCCAGTTTTTTCGTTTTATGAAAATTTAGATTTTTGGAACATGCAAGTTTTACTTTTTGCCTACTCAATTGTACTTTAGCTTATTTGGAAAGAAACCTTGAGCTCATAATAGTAGCTTATCGGACGTATATTTGTGCCTTTTGACTTTTATGCGCTACCAATAGTTTATACTATTTGTTATTTCTCATTTGGATTGGTCGTTGAATTTCTACTTGAACGTCATAATACACATAATTTATTGCCTATTTAATGATTAATGATAATTTTCCCCGCTTACCCACTAAATAGCTCGACCAAATATATTTGGTTAAAAATTCTTCATAATCAAATTTCAATTCACTATTGCCCTCTTTGTGTATTTTATTGACTTGATCGAACCAATGGTACGCGCAATGAAATTCAGCATTGTCGTAACACAAAACAGCCAAAGTATGACAATCATTAACTATAAAAAAAAAATAATAATTATAGTATTACAATTCATAATTTAAACTTGTACGTATATAGTAATATAATAATATAATATGTGTATTAACCGTCTAATTTTTCAAACGTGTAGTTACTAACGTTGCCATTTGCTATTTCATGCACTTCGAGTTCGTATACAATTTGTAATCTCCTTAGGGCTCTCAACGCACTATTAATGTTTTCCTTGGTCACCGATCCGCGATTAAATTCTGAAACGGTCAAAACGTCATGTTAGTTAGGTACCTAATTTGAAGGTAATGGATGACAGTTACAGCGTTAAATATTAAACATATAAGTAGGTACCTATCGGGGTCGATTTAGCCATATCGTTTTTCAACAACTCCCAGTCGGTTTTTATGCGTAAAATGGTTTTAAATGCATTTATCGAGCTCTCAGTGTATGACACCGCCAACTCTTCCGCGTTCTGTTTTTCCCTCTGTTCTATAAAACTGAAACATGGATATAAACATCATTTTTAAAACTCCAAAATTACAATTTTCTCACGGGCATTATAATAACGTGTTCCTATTCGTCACCTACCGTCTGATCTCGTCTAGTCGCTTATACTCGTTTTGTAGGTACGTTTCCGTCTGGGCCAGGTATTCAGCTTGCAAGTCGATTAAATCGTGCACAGATGACATAGAGTAATGCCAATCGTTGTCGTGGCACGAGTTCAATTTAATAAAGCAAAAAACCGTGAGAATCGTTTTTATTAAATTGTACATTGTATTTATTGTATCATACGCGTTAGCAATAATATTCTATTTACGTGAAATAATTAACCGAAACATACACGTAGCATTAATAAACGAAAAACTACCAGTTCTATAATTGAAAAAAAAAACACGAGTTTTCAATAAACATATAGGTACCTATGCTAATAAATGTTTGAACTGTTTAGTTAGGTGTGCACAGGATTAATGCATAATTAATCAAATTTTATTCCTATTTAATGCGACAATTTGATTTCATTATTTATTATGCGTACTTATTATATCCTATGGTTATGTACAGATTTGGGGGAAATGAATAGTTTATAATTGTCAAGATAACACGAGTGCGGGCACTAATTCTGGTACACGTACGACACGAATATTACAACCGAAGCAGTAGGCGTTTTTTTTTTTTTTTAGTAAACATAATATTATATAGGTACATACAAAATAATTACAGATTTTTTTTTTATAATATACATTTTTTTTATTACTATGTATAGCTTACCAATTTACCTAGTGAGTCCTTTGTATTTTGTTTACGGGGGCGGCCTTGCCGGTGAAAATTTAGGCTGCTTAAATTATTTTAAGCTGATGAATTATAATTAAATAAACGGCAAAGTTTTTATATTTAAATAAATAATTATTATCTTTATTTATGTACTCATCCTCTGTCCGTGTGTATGTCACTATACTCCTAAACGGCTAGACTGATTTTGATGAAATTTGTTTGTGTGTGTTTGAATATGTCTCTAGATAGTTTAGATTCACAATTGGACCTGATAAGTGGCGTTGCAAGAGTAGCTGACACAGGGTTATTGGTATTTTTAGTACAGAAATCAAACTATTTTTGTTGATTTATAGGTTACCTTATTGGTGATACGGATAAAATTAAAAAATAAATGAATAGTAAGATAGTCCGTGTAAGTTGTTCTAAAATTGAAGTGATTGAAGTATCCATCTGGTAGAAAATAAATAAATAAAGATTCACTAGAGGGCACCACGAGAGTGATACAATTGACTTAATAATTTTCAAAATAATTGGCAAATACGCACATCTATGTACATAAAAATTAATCGATTTTTTGTTACCGGCGCCATAACTGGAACACGGACTGCCCGATAAGCATGATTTTGTGTGTGTGTTGTCAGGACAAGATTATTACGAAAGAAAACTTTTTGAAAAATCTACCTGAAAAATTTGAAATTTAGATGGTATTCAAACTATGACGTCACCGACAAAATATCGATCAATTTTTATTAGAGATGTGACGAATTGTTTGAAAATCGAACTGAAAATTACAAATAATCAAACTGACCCAAATACTCAATAGTCTGGTTCGAAAATCATTGGATGCCAATTCTACGCGGTCACCAATACGATGTTCTGCGATAGGACAGAGCGGCCTTGTTACAAAAAAAAAAAATTTATTTTTTCGCCTTAGTGGGTCTCATAATCGTAAATCACGGAGTCGAGCAGTTCGAGAACCTATATTTTTGACCTAACCTAACCTTTTTACTTTTTTAATGTTCGAGTTTGAGTTCGATAAAAATGTTTAAGTTTAGGTTGGCTTGGATTCGTTAATTTTAAGGAATGCTCGGTTCGGTTCGATCTTTAAAATCAGAGTTCGTAACATCTCTAATAATTTGTATGCATACAGATTAAACATATTGATACATATAATGTACCTATTTATAATTTGTTTTAGTTTTGTTTATTTAATTTTGTTTACTATATAAACTTTATATAGTATAAAAACGTGCATAAAACAATAGGTTACTAAATCTAGTACAAAACTGTTGGACATGACTGAAAAATAATAATACTCTACATAATAGGCAAACTAATTATCACACTTTAGAATAATAGATAATATAATATATATTTTTGTAAATATTTACATATTATGATTTGTTTGTATGGACGTAGTTTTTACCATAAAGTTTTGAATAAATACCGATAAAACATAGTAGATAGATTTTGTTTGCCATATTTGAACACCATTTTAAAACAAGTTTTGAAAATCGTATACAAAATTCGAATTGAGCTAAATCATCTATCGACAGATAATATTTTTGACTAACTAATCAATTTTCTTAATGTTTATACCATTTCAATCTTAAACCAGGTCATTACGAAAGCGGTACATATTTCGCAGTTATCCACCATGATGAGTATTAGACCACTGTTGTAGGCGGGAAGTTGGGAAGATATATTTATACGTACTGGAAACAACAATAATTAATCGTTATAATCAAAAAACGGTTCTAGGAACGTAAGGTTATATTATATTATTTGGAGTTTTTTCCCTATGTTAAAATATATAATGCATACGATGATATTATTTTATCATAATGTGACATAGTTTATATAGTTGATAAAGTAGAACTATTAACCGTACTCTGCTCAGAATCGTTTTTCGTCAGCAATAGTTAATCTTTACGTATATAGATGTACATTAAGATTAAATTTCCCTTCTACCTTCCCAACTTCTCACCTACAAAAGTGGCCTACCCAAGTACGAAGTATATCCGTTTTTTTTATAATCAATTTATTCCTTATGCACTGATTTTCATTCAGACCGCGGGCATAAATATTTTAAGACCAGGCCAGCCCGACCCTGCCGGATAGATGTGTGTTAGATTTTTATTTGCACATATTTTGATAATAAATGTCATAGGTATCATAATACGGTTAACTTGTTTGGTATTTTGTTTATAACTGCCTATTACGTTAAAATATTCTTTATTTAATGCGAAACGTATTGAAAAAAAAAAACGGTAATTGTACAAACATGTTCGGGGCGTTCGAAAAAAAAAAAAAATAAAAATAAAAATCGTTTTCTTCCCTATATTTTTGATAAGGACTACGATAATGCTAAATAATAATTATTATAACGTATTACATTGTACATAATACTATTGGTCGATGGTCGATATAATATTGTACACGTGAAAAATAATAGCTACGCCTACGCGGCCGTCGTAACTTATAATCATGTGCGTGTTGTACGATTGAAATCACTTTGGTGGGCATTATTATGCGATCGCGTACTCGGCCATTTACACCTATCGTGTAGGCAGGTACGTGCGGTCACCCGAAACCGATAGTTTATTACTCAAAATCGGGATAATTATTGAATTCCGTGTTGTTGTTTTGTTTTGTTTTTTAATCATTTTTCATTTTCGGACGTCGCGCGTCGGGGCGTCGTTTATTATATCGGTGAAAAATAATATTACTGTCCCTTTATAACAACGTGTAGGTATTATACGATAATAAAAGCAAAACAAAAAAAAAACTACAACAATCGTGACAACAAATAACGACTACGGGGCCACCCCCGAACCCACGACAAAAACGGCAAACGACAATTATTGCGATATTACAGACAAGGCTATAATATAAAAAAAAAAAAAAAAATGTGTGCTTCGGGAGCGTATTTACATACTTTATTATCCGAGTTCCGTTCAACCGGTATATTTAACGACTACGCCACATGTGTCGTAGTTTTTCATCGACCTCCACTACAAGTGCTTCCCAAATTTTTCGACTCGTGGCGCTCTTTTTGAACTATGGTTTTCTCAGGGTGCTCTTGCTAACCATTTCAATCAAACATCGATTCTGACCAGAGTAGTCGTATTAGTCGCGGGGGTTTCCTGTTGTATAGCCAACCGCGCAGAAATCAACGAAAATAAAATCGATATATCAACAGTATTATTGCACCTAGCCGCTTAATTTTTTTAATTTTGGAGAAAAACTATCGGAAATATAGACAATTTTTTAAAAAATTAAGTAGGTAGAATGTTTCACAGGTATACATCACGTAAGAAACTAACTTTTTCGGAGCAGTATCGAGCCTGTAGACCGACAAGTGTTTCGGGTTCAGGTTTTAGGCGTTGAAAAACAACTAAAACCAATGCTGTGACGTTTCGGCTCGGGCCCAACTCGGATAGGCACTGTTACATACGCGCCCCGGGAACATCGTTAGTTACAAACGAAATAATATTATAACAATAATGATGATTGTGACGGATAACGCGCAGGACTGTAGCCGATAATCGCGTGCGACCGCGAGTTCGTGTACGCAGATATTAATTATTATCTATAAAACGCGCGTCGTATTATAATACACAGGGGGTGTATAGACGAAAAAATAACACGGCGCTATATTATATACGTAGAGCTGATTAATAATTGAGGTAAACTCGTTAAAATAAACGAGACGATAATATATTACATTGGATATAATATTAAAATATATTAGTGGCTCGCACCTATAATAGGTACCTGTAGGTATACATGACGTGGTTAGATATTATGATTTCGATTCGCGGCTATATATGTCATAATATACGTATATAAGTATAGACGGTGAAAATGACGTTGATAAAAAACCGTCGTGTAATTAATCGAGGAAACGAAAAAAAAAAAAATCGCTACACATTCGTAATGTGAACACTATTGAAACAATATAATATTATAATATAGCTACCTACCCTGAATATAGGTACCTACGGTTCGTTGAGACATGCAGTTATTCGTTATAAAGTGTCGGGATCTCTTCCCTACACAATGATAAAACGTTAAAACCGTGTTGTGTACCCGGCGTACAAAGTGGTTATACTTAGATAGTTAGTATACTTGTACCGTTTACAATATTATTGCAGAACTTTCACTAAAGGAGTCCGCGAGTATCAGTATAATATTATATCGTTTTGAGCGTAAAATATAGTTTTTACTCTAGTTAAACAATATCTTTTATTCATACACAATAGCTGATGCATCACGTCACGATGCATACCTGATATTACGAGATTTTTATTGAATAGATGAAAATAACACAGAGAAAAAACGCGATAATATTTTTTTTATTATTATACTTTACCGAACCGAAGGTGCTTAATATCTATAAAACTGCGAAGACAATAAACACCGGAGGTTAAGCAAAATCGAAGAACGAAAACGATTATAGGTATATCATCATAAGTATATTAAATTTATTTAATATTTTGTAAATTTTAGGTTCTATATATTATATAGTGTAGAAATAATAGAAAAACAATATTTAATTTTTAATATATTTTGAAACGAAAACGTTAAGGAAAAATTCAACAATACTTATAAAAAAGTACTCAATTATAACAAAATATGTCGATTAAGTTCTTACCGCCTTTTTTTTTTGAAGGGGAGTGGATTGGCTGGATATTTTTGGGTAGTTAACTTCCTCCCCTCCTTATTTGCATCAATATTAGTTATGGAAATCTGTGATGTAAGTGTTAACTAATTAGTTTTGTATTCTTATATAAAAATAAAACCGAATAACGTAATATAGTCGAGACAATAATTGAACTTAACAAACGACATACTTTATTTAGTGGGTAGACAAGCAAAACCATAAGTAGGTATATAAAAAAAATATCGGTTTTACAACATAATTGTATCTATAGCGAATAATAAAAACAAAGTTCATATTAAGTATACAGTTTGACGATTTACTGCAAAGTACAAAATTCAAGTTTTTCATTTTTAAACAATATTTTATCCATTCGATATTAATATACTATATTATGTTGTAATATCTAGCTAGACACTATTAGTTTGGTTTAGTTAGCTATTTTTATTTACCCATTTCTTAAAAGAAAAAAAACCGTAAAATACTACATTTTGTTTTCAGTTAATCTTAACGGTATTTACGTTATACTATAGTGTTAATTCAATGTGTTTTATATACCTTGTGATTTAAAAATAACTTTTTATTGCGATATTTTAATGTTTTTTCAGCAACAGAAGGGCTGCTGCTGCAGTTTCCTATAAAACGGCTTACATTCAACCGAATGGATTCATTGATTTTTGGCCAAAGTAATTCTAGTCCGCCGCATTGTCCGTCTTGCAAACTAAAAAACGGTACCCATTATATTATATAGTTTATTCGAGACGAATTTGACATGTTCTGATGTAGATGGTTTCTGTTTATTTTTTCATATTATAGAAAACTACCAATGGCACGGTATCGAATGCAATTGCAGTAAGTCGTCGTATGAAGTACAACAGCAGACGCTTCAACATCGTCGTTTGAAGACAGACACTCCACGCGAGAAGAAAGACGCGAAATATTACGAAAAAAGAAAAAGGAACAACATGGCGGCGAAAAAATCAAGAGAAGCTAAACGCAGAAGAGACAACGAAGTAAAATGATTTTTATTTTGTTTTCTTGTTTTTACAAAACATAATATAAAATTTTATTCTGCCTTCGATGTTCCATTACCAGATTACCTGACGATTTTTGAAATGGAATTGGTGGTTTTTATTATTTTTAATTCTGTGTGAAGCCAGGTATATATTGGTTTTACTTTGTGTGTTTGTAAACAACTTTTCAACCAGAAGAAATCTTCCTTCAATCAAAAACGTTATAGAAACTTTCTTGGAGTATATTCGATGTTTTTGATAGATTGATTAAATTATTATTATTATTTTTGATTTTCTATGTAGTTCTTTAATAAATGAGAAAAACTAGCGATTTTTGTTGATTTTTTAGTTCCTTGGCAACTAGAGAACAAATACAACTAATAACACTCAATTCATAATCGTTTTTGATAGCAATGGTTTACAGATATAAATTAAATAACTCTATATCTTCCATTCTAGCTTTCCTCCTGAAACATTGGCACACTCATCAGCAGTATCAGGATTTTTAATTTAATTTATTGTGTAAATTAATGTACCTATTGTTTAAATGTATAAATTTTGTGTTTTATCTAGTGGAACTTCCCCCCTGCCCCGAGAGATTTTTGGTTACGCCACTACAATATAATACTTCAAGATTTGTTTTGTTATTTTAGATTCTGGGTGGAGCGAAGAAGCTTATAATTTTACAAAAATATATTTTTTTTTTCTGTGGATCACTTTCCTACCAGAAGACTTGCTCCGATTTTTACGTGTAGATCTTTTTTGAAAGGAAATCGATATAGAGAGGTGCTTCAAAGAGGTCATTTTTCGATTTTTTCAAGAATTTCCTCATCAAATGCAAAAAACTGAAAAAAGAAAAATGAAGGAAAAACCGAAAATTTACGAATATATTTGTATAATTTTACGATTTTTTTTTCTCTGGACAACTTTTCAACTAGCAATTTTGCTCCAAATTATAATTTTTGTAAAAGGAAATTTTACTAGGGAGATACTTAAAAGAAATTAACTGAACTACACTCTGAATCGTTTTTTGGTTAGCAATGGTTAATCGTTGATAACAGATATACAATAAATTACCTGTAACAGTGGCTGCACCCGTCTCCATTATCCTAGGACGTCTTTTTCTTTATTTATTTATTTTAATTGCTGATATTTGATAAAACAATCATCAGATATTCAGACACCTAATGATAATCGTTATCAAAGTATGGAATTTTGGTAAATGTTTAGCTAAGTAAGACAGCCATGTAAACAATTATAAACAAAATTAAAAATACGAGGAGGTACCTACTTATTAAGTGAATTTCGACCTTTCAAACTCGATAAATTTCAAATAACCAATTCGTTTTTGCAGCATTTTTTAAGGGCACGTACAAAACTATCCTTTTTATTTTGATAGATTTAATGTTAATGGATATTTATAGGATGTTCAGCACATATATTGGAAACATTGTGATATAAGGTTTAATCTCATATCTTACGTCACGATAGCGAAAAAATGTTTGCACATGGGCAGACTGATCCGGGGTGTCAAAGTCAAATCGAACTCTGGATCCCGAGTCAAAATACTGTGTTTATGTTTCAGGCCCTAATTTGCATTTGTGGGTTCCAATAGTCGATTATCAAAATACATAAAAAACAAAAAAAAACGTTAAAAAAAAAATTGTTATGCCAAATAACAAGTCTGTAGGTCAGAGGTACACATACTGTGTGTATAAGTATGTGTACCTGCTCAACGATACTGCATAGTCCACTAAAATATTTTGTATCTTGGAGCTGAAATTGTCATTCCTGGTTAGCACAGGTCGCAATGTTATAATCTTATAATGTTTTTAGATGGCTTTGAAGTTGTTTCTTTTGGAAAAAGAAAACGTCTTGTTGAAATTCAGATTAAGCACGGTAACCGAAGAACTCGACATGATAAAGAGAACGTTGGTGTTTTACAACACGAACACCGTCATTTGGCAAAATAATGCCGTTTTACCGCGTCATTTTCAGAAAAAATAGAAAAAAATCTTATTTCAAAAAGTATCCAAACATAATATTTTATTTCTTATTGTACCTATATTATTCATACTACACGTAGCCTAATATTAATTTTATATAATAATTTTTTATGCGTAACTATTTACACCGGTTTAGTAGATACCTACGTTCTTCATATTATTAGATTTTAAGATTTATTATTTATTTTTATATAAGACAACAAGTCCACGTAGACTTGCAATACATTTAGTCAAATAGTATAGTTAAATTTGTATCAATTTATTTAAATGTACTTTAAAAATAATTTAATCTCATTTAATAATGTATAAAACAATTTTTCGTAAAAGCACTTCCGATTAAACTCTCAAGATTCGTCTGAACACACGAGTAGTAGTTGTTTTAATAGTAATTCTAAATTAAAAATTAAAATGTTTTAAACTTTTCAGTAAAAATAAAAATTTTTGTTGTATAAGTGTTGTTAATTATTTTAGATTCTGAGAGGAGCGAGGAATGTATTGGCTTTACAATGATGTTATTTTATTTTTCTTAATTGTGTGAAAAAATTCTACCAGAAATTTTGCCCCGATGTATGAAGCATAGCAAATTTTCTGAAATGGAATTTTATCTAGTAGGTTTTTTAAGGAAGCAATTTTTTTGATTTTCCAAGCAGTTTTCATAGTTGGAAAAATGCACGAAAATAATGCTTTTATTATCTTCAATTTTATTTTTGTTATTGCAGTTTAGTTTTCAAATGTTTGTAGATATTTGAAATTTGGATAAAAGCATTTATTTGCCTTTTCTAGACGTGATCAATTTTTCAAAATATTTGAGTCATTTTTGAGCTATTTATAGACATTTCAATTTTGCTTGTTTTTTTTATGTAATTTTTATTCGGTAGGTACTCTGTGGGTAAAATTGTTAAACTAAACAGAAATGATTAAAAATTTAATAGGATGTTCATTTTAAGTTGTACTTAGTGGTCAATAATAAAAAGTTGAGTTTAATGTAATATTTTTTATTTTATTGGAATTTCAATACCAATTTTTGACGAAAATCGTAAGTATTACCTATATTATAGTATATACTCCTTTTTAAAACACGTATAACCGAACTCCGTTCAGAATCGTTTTTCGTTAGCAATGATTAATCGTTGCAAACAGATTATACAATTAATTCCCCTTTATATCACAACTTCTCACCTACAACAGCGGCCCACCCATCGTGTGAAGTATGCCCGTATTTTTTATCAATTTAAAAATAAAATAAAAATTGTCTTAATTAATTATGTACATTTAAATTGAAATTGTTTCTCATGATTGACACTTCTCATTAACATAATACGGGTTAAGTTAACTCAAATTTTTTATACGGTGCATTATAGTTTAAGTAACTGCAATATGCGGTATTACTTGAAACGCACGAAAAACGGAAAAAACATGACTTATCCCGAAACGTACATTGAAATAACATGTTAAATATTGGACAAACTTTGCGTAGTGAACTGCACGAAAAATAGATCGAGTATATGTAAACAAAACCAATTTTTTATAATTTGGTGATTTGACACATTTTCCGACAGTTACGGAAACATTAGAAATAACCAGATGAATACTAGATTTTATATTTTATTTTTAGAACTCATTGAAAAAATTGATAAAATTTCAACGAGCACCTCAGCCGAATAGGCTCCCTACGCAACAATAATATGTAAGACACGCGTTGTTAAAATGTTATACATTTTGTCGGTTTACCGTAATTCCGGTAAAACTGTTACATTTGTAATGACTTATGAAGTTATAAAACCTTAATTATCTTATGTGTCTATATTGCAATTTGATAATTTGATAATCTTTAACATTAAAAACATAAATATTGATTACATAATATCATATACAACATTACACCATAATTATAGATTGTTTAGAACATGCGCGTATAAAATACATATTGCATGTCATTAGAGTAGTAAACAATAAATATAATGCGATCAAAATACGAGACGCTTAAGATAATTGTTCGGAATATTTCCATTTTCTCTCAATAAAAATTCACGATACCAGTTCTCCCATGCGTTTTTCATAAAATCGGTCGATGTCGGAGGGTGCTTGATATATTTTGTAGTGAGCGTGTTCGGGATAATTTTATATTTTGTGTACAGATCTATAAGACTGTTAACATTTTGATGAAATCCCAAAGATTTTTGTCGGTGAATGTTCAAAAGCCCCGCGGTGAATTCCGACGCCCCCCTAATACTGGCTGTCCCTTTCAAACCGCGAAACGTTAACGATGTCGTCACTCCGTTTTTCTTAACAACAATGCGTACCATTTTGACTTCGGATTTTTTCGAAATTAACTCGGCCACTTTCTTAAACACTTTCGACGAAATACTCCGTTTAAATCGGCCGTTGTCGTTACCCGACGACGGCGGCGGTTCGACAAACTCGTAGTCGTTTACGTTGCAATCGCCATTGCAATATTGATCGTTCATCTTGGCCAACTCGTATAACAATTTGTTGTTGTCTACAGCAACTGTATTAGGCAGCATTGATAATGCCGGAAATAGTTTATTCACTTCGATTCCTTTCAGGTGCGAATACAACTCCAAACGTTCTTCGGCCCAAACTGAACATACGATTTGCACGGGTGCCGTAGCGAGATCGGCGAGCACCGGTAACGCAAACGATGCGACTTCGACATATTTACAGGATTCCATCATCACGGCGTCCTCGGTGTCCAGTGTGTCCGTGATGAACGCGTGCGGATTGCACGCGATGAGAAAGTTGATGAGAACACCTGTCAAAACGTCACTACAAACCACGCCATTCACCAGTCTCGGTACTTCTGAAATTCCGTTACCTACGGCATTGACTCCATTGTTCACAGTGTTCCCGAAATCTTTAGCTACACTGTTCACAGTATTACCGGCGGCGTCGATTGCACTATACACAGTACCGTGAAATTTTGAAATTTCGATATCGACAGCGTTGACTCTATTGTTCACGGTATTACCGAAGTCCTTCGCTGCATTGTTCATTGTATTACCGAGGTCAATGACCCCATTATTCACGGTATTACCGAAGTCTTTGGCTCCATTGTTCACGGCATCGGGTATTTTTGAAATTCCGATACTTACGGTGTTGATTCCCTTGTTCACAGTATTACCGAAGTCCTTCGCTGCATTGTTCACAGTATTACCGAAGTCTTTGGCTGTATTGCTCACGGTATTACCAAAGTCACTGACTCCATTATTCACTGTATTACCGAAGTCATTGGCTGCACTGTTCACAGTATTCCAGATTCCTAATTTAATTTTATAAATAAAATTAATAATTTATTACTTACATTTTTTTTTTTTTTATAAATAATATTATCAATTTATTAATTTATTGGAAAAATAATATATCAGAACGATAATTTGTTAAAAATCTGAACTGATGATATCGTGTCGGACGATGTCAGCCTCTCAGGAAGTCGTTTAACAGGAAAACGGGAGGGTGAACGATTCGGAAAGTCATAAGTTAGAAGGAGGGGGGGGGGTAATGTTCCTAGTAAAAATGAGACGTGAAACGGCCGGAGGAATAAAAAAATAATAATGATAACGAATCTTTGGCAGAAGAAAAGCCATAGACGCTCTATTTAAGGATTCTGAAATTTTAGCATTCTGAATTATTATAACAGTCTAAAATTTTAACAATCTGAAATATTAAAGATTCCAAAATTCGAATGTATTATTTATTATTTATTTATTCTTTTATATTTTTATTTTCCAAACAAATTATTTCCTGTAACTAAATTAGGTTTCTTTATAGGTTATGTTTAAAGAGATTATACTTTCCGAATAGTATATAATATAGTATGGTATAGTATTTTAAATGCTAATAAATTATTTTCCAACGTATTATAGCTATCGTCTTTACCGAAAATGTCACCAGATGCCAACACGGAAAAATGACAAATCGAAAATATTAACAGGTACACTTTCATTTTCGTTCCCAGTGTTGACTGTTCAAGGTGTGAGCGATGTCTAAAAAAATATTTGTACCGTAATAATGCGCCGTAATGCTGAAAAAATAAATAAATATAAGTTAGACGTGTTTAAATTTTGTGCAAACAACGCGCGATCGTACACCGGTCGGTGCAACATACAGTTTTTACCCCCGGAACAGATATATTTTCAGGGATGGATTGGGCCATCGGGAAATCGGGTAATTTACGATGGGCCCCGTACTGGCGAGTTAAAATTGACCGCCAGAACAACCACTATTTTATATATATATATATATACAGGGTGATCAGAATTTTATGTTACAGTAATTTTCTCCTATAAATATGCAAGTCTGTAATCTGTAATTTTAGTGTAATCTAAAATTATATGTGGGCTTGAAATTTTTCGGCGCTCTTTTGGGAGTATTCGAGGGTCAACTTTTAAAATTCAAATGGCTACCTTTATTTGAAATTCCATAGATAGATGGACTATTTTTTGGTTAAATTTTGGATGTATTCAAATTAAGGTTTTTGAAATTTCTTATAGCGTAGTTAAAGCCAACATTTTCGAATAATTCGATTTTTCACGACATTTAAGGAGTATTAAGAGTAGTCTGTAGCGATACCAATTGCCATAATTTTGGTTTTTTTAAATTAGAACCTATACTAAAACACGGAGGCCGTAGCCTAAACAAAACCATTAGTCAGTACAATTTGACTGATAGATCATCGCCCGCTCGAGAAATCTTTGAAAGATCCACAGTCGACAACACTTAATAGGAACACAAAAAGTACGTGCAACCAACATTTTTTGATAATCTCTCTCGAATAGTTCCTTCTGAATTTTTGCAGGTAACGTTAGTTTTTTTTTTTTTATTCGGTAATTTTATTAATTTAACCTTTTCCTATCCTGATTTAAATATTAATACTCGCTGTCTGAGTGCACGCAGTTACGAAGTGTTAAATATTTTAAATTAAAATACATGGATATAATTATTTGACCAAACAGAAATGCATGAAAATATTATGACAGTTGAACTTGAGGTAAAAAAAATAAAATGAAAAATGAGTGTATGCAGTCATTTTTTTTATATTACAACGAAAATCAATATCGAAAATTTTCTCGGGTTTTCTCCCGTTTATAATGAACACCTCTTGGACAATCAAAAAATAACCTATAAGGACCACCCAGATAAAATTTCCTTATAGAAAATATGCTACACTTGAAAACCGGAGCAAGATGTCCGGTAGAAAAGTTGTTCATAGATAAAAAAAAAAAACAAAACAAACGTTGTAAAACCAATACATACATATACGGTAATATTTTATGCCCATACTATATTATTATCTATTTAGTCAATAATTATTCTCATTCCCAAAAATATCGACAACAGCACTCATCATAGGCTAAAGGCCGCGTGAACACTGGAGAGCGTTGCGCTGTTTTTTTTTTTTCAAGTCGTCCAATCAAGACCTCCCTTGTGGAGTGATCGACATTCCGACTACGAAAAAAAAAAGGATAAAACGAACAAAATGTGGGGGAAAAAAAAAAAACCTTCTCCGATCCTCTCTTCTCAGTTCACTATAAATGTGCGAAAATTCGCCAAGTGTTTTTCGTTTTTCCGTTCGTTTCGTGAACTCCAATCCTTTTATTTATTTTTTTTTTTTTATACCTTAAAAAGCGTTTTCGAAACAATGAATTTCGTAGCAATAAAATACGCCGACATTTTGAGGACAGCTAAATATCGCAGACAACGCGCACCGTAAGCCGTTAGACGTACGCACTTTACCGCTCGCCGCATATGTACGCGGCCTAATAAAAAAAAAAAAAAAAACCCAACAAAATCAATAACGATAAAAATGCTATTTACAATGCTATCAGTTTTATTCGAAAACCGTCGCGACTCGCGTCAAGTTTCGGTCAGAACTCGTAAAGGAATTAAATCAAAACGTATTTATCCGTGTAGCCGACACCGTTGCATTTGTACAATAATTAATGTAGTAAACCAATACGTACTTGTAATGAATTCCAAAAGCGAAATGTATGAACGAACGACCGGAACGCTCGTTATCGTAGATTCACTGGCCGAGACGGTGAGACCTTTAACGAGACGATGTCGTCTCGGGCGCGCGATAAGGAATATTGAGAACTGATTACTTGGAAATGGGACTTCTGCGGAAATCGCCCGTTTCGATAACATTAATGTTTATCAGAGGCATACACCGAATGATCAAAATGCTCTAATAAAGGACCGGCGGAGGGGGTGTAATAACGTGTGGGAAAAGTATTTCGTTTTCGATTTTTTTCCCGCGTATACCATGCTGTCGTTGAACAAACACCGCTTATGGTCTTTGAATGTCATATGGTTTTTGACTACATGATTATGAACGCCTTTCGTTTTGATCTTTTTTTTACCGTCAATCTTATAAGCATAAGATTTGGTACGTAATGCACAAAATTCTGTGATTGTTTGCCCATCTGTCTCGTGATCTAACAGACCAGGTATTTTCTTCCTCTCTCCGACATAGTACAGGTGGTCTTTTGGTAAGTTAGCTGTGTCCGTGCACTCCAAAAGTTCAGGTTTACTCAGCAGGTCCATGTAAAAATCTTAAGTCTTGATATAATATACCAACGAACGAGTCTAGAACAAAAAAATAATAAAATCATAGTCAAGTTTTGAAACATATAAGAAAAATAATAATAATTTATCTGTATCGGTATACATCAAATTGATGTTGTCTTTGAAATGCTTTTTCATAACGTTGTAGTGGTATACATACATTTTGGTTTTTTAAATATCTAGTATAGCAAATTCAATGTAAATCGGCTTACAGAAATGTATGATTTTTTTTTTTCCAGAGTGATAGCCCCTAGGTTCTCATTGTACGTTGTACAATGTTTGAACGTTGTATTATTTATCATTTTTTGTGCTTTGACTCAATATAAGTTAGACATAGATTCCATCATCTTACTTAGAAAATTATATTAATATAATAACAATCAAGTTTTAATAATTATAATAAATTACCAAAAATAGCATTGTTCATAAGTTTGTAGAAATCTTTTTCGAAATTACTAGCTGCCTTCTCCCTCATCTCTGTGTTTAAGTTTATGTATTTTGTGATACGTCAGGCTGCGCTAGATTAGCTCATGTATATTTCCCTTTTCTACTCGCCCTCTAACGGGGACGGTGGACACTAAGCGGTCCGATCCCCCGTCACCCGCCTACCATGTCGTTCGTGAGGCATGTCCAAGGAATTAGAATGTGTATAGAATGGTCGCGCCACGATATGTGTTAAGACGTCCTTCGGTTTCTTTTAAAAATGTCGCGTCACTGCAGTGCCATTTACTGAATATTGTAGTAAACCAACTGCATGATGATGTTCATCATCACAAATTACAATTCTATATACAATACTACAACATTACTATTCTGAGCTACAACCGTGGACTTCTCCTTTCTATGTCTTTATTATCTTTAACGGATATTTATCATGGTTATAGATCAGTTATCTATCTACCTCGATAAAGCGGCTCTGTTATCAATTTTTGGTCTTATCATGAGTTCAGTTTAGATTTCTTGATAAAATTAGTAACAAATACTGTAATAATTATTACTACTTACTACATTTATAGAATTTATTGGTAATATTAAATTCTGAATTCAAATTAATTGTTACCCAAGTACCGTAACATATTATTATTTCAATGTAACGGTAAAGACTTGTAATTTCAATATTACTTCTTTTTGAATGTAATAAGTAACAAACCAACAGAGAACTAATTTCATTTTCTACGACATTACACACTAAGTACCTTGGTATTTATTAATGTAGATAAAGTATTATTTAAATATAATGCAATTTGTAATGAACATACTATTATAGGCGTTATTGGAAATCTTCAAAAATATTAGTGTAATTATGGCGATTGAAGAGTTTACAATAGCCGTGGTTTGTTCAAGCAACATGAATCGTAGTATGGAGTCGCATGCTTTTTTAAGGTACGTTAAGTTAATTTACTACCTATTTGAATTGTTTATACCATGTAAATATAAATATTCTTATATTCCTATATTAATATAAACCCAAAATAATAGGCTCGGTTAAGCATCAATCTATAACTTTTTCTTGGTTGTAGGCATTTTAAGACCATTTCAAGTCTAGCTTAGTTATTTTACGTCCTTTTTATCAAATCTCCCAGTCTTTTCCCAGCCACTTTCTTGTATACTAACTTTGTTCTATCACTGCTTTTATTAGTATTTAATTATAGGTACATTACTTATCTATAACATTGTCACTAAACATTGCTTCATAATCTTAAAGATGTATCTAGATTAAATAATTTGTTTTACAAATTGTTAGAAATATTCTAATAGAATTGTGGATCTCAAATTTCTCAAACAATACTACTACTATCTAAAAATAAAATAAAATAAAAATATTGAAATTAGGTTTAATTGTTAAGACTTATTGGTAATTTATAAAAAAGATTAAGGAAAACAGGAATAAGTTTATTTTGTACATCCTCAGATTTCAAATTTTTTTCAACACATGTATTTTTGAATATTAAATACAATGGTATGTACAATCAGAATTTTTTGGTTGAACTTTCTTTCAAATTTATCACACCTTAAAGTCTGATATTATGGTGTAATGTGATTGTTGAAAACATTAATTAGGTACTACAAAGTTTTTTCCATTTTTTTCCATTAGGCTCTGTCTTGCATGTATTAACAAACAAGTGTATGGGCTTTAGTTTCTATTCAACCGTCTGCAAGAAAGTAGTTATTGTATTTACCGTGTAGTTTTTTAAATAATTGAGAGAAAATGTAAGAAAAACAGGAAACTGAAAGCTTGTAGCATTAATGGTTTAATTACTTTTGATTCTGTTTCTTTGTTGTCATTCAGTTAATAATACTCATTAAACTTCAAAATTTTCATAGAATACTTATTTTAGCCTTTTCTGGACATGGTTTATCTACCTAACTTTCATCTACATCAGTGGCACATCTGTCGGGCATATTGGCACTTTCTCTTTCCTTTGATTTTTTTAGTTTGTTCTTTTTAATCTTTTCCCAGGGATTCATTGTTATATTATTATTGCCATAGTATGAAAATTATTTTAACATGTGATGATTGATTTACTGCTGGATTTAGTCTGTTTATTGATAGGTATAAATCTGTAATTTATTATAGTAATAATAACATAATCTTATCAATTATCATATATTTTTGTATTTATTATTTTTTTTAGTTGATTACTTGGAGAATCAATATTTGACTGAAATTTTCTGTTATACATATAATCACATTGAATTATATTATATTATAATTTAATTCCTTTCTTTTTAAATTTAAATTTTGATTTTTTTTTTTACAGTAAAAAAGGTTTTAATGTTCGATCATTTGGAACTGGTGATAAGGTGAAATTACCTGGAATGGCTCCTGACAAACCGAATATTTATGATTTTGGATCTTCATATGACGAAATTTATAAAGATTTATATAATAAAGATAAAACTTAGTATCCTTTAATTTATAATAATTAGGTAATAGAAATGTATACATAATTCTGAATACGAAACAAATAAATAAAATATAATATAAACCATAACTAAGACAAGGCTAACACTAAAAAAAAAGGGCGAGTGGCCACCTACATAATTCTGAAATGTACAAATGTGGAATGTATTAATCTTGAAAAATAACAAGATCAGTTCACCATTTTAAATTATTATTTAGTGATTTTAAGTTAAAATGAATAAACTTACTTCACATAACTTGGTTGAACTTTGGTTTTTGGTTAACCCATCAACGTCGAGAATTATTTAAGTTAAAACTTAGTACTTTTTGTACTACTCAAGATTAAAATACATTTTTTTTAAAAATTTAAAAAAAATACAATTTTTGAGATTTAGTGTGGGTATACCATTGCCCAATGGTTTTTACTCTCAAAAAATGGTTTACTTCGTGATTAATTAGATCTAAAATACAACAAAAAAAAGTCACTTGTCTTTTTTTGATTATAGCAATATTTCTGATAGAAAACATAGTTTGTAAAAATTAAAAACAACGAAATTAGTAACGCAGCGGTGTGCTTTGAATATTTGCTGTTTTTCGATAATTATATTTTGGTTTTCTTAATTATTATGAAAAACCCTTAAAAAATCAAAAACTGACCTATCTAATGCACCAACTATATAAAGTTTCCTTTAAGAAAACGTGCTACACTTGATACATTGCAGCAATATTTCTGGTAGAAAAGTTGCTCACAGATACAAACAAAAACACAGATCATAGTAAAATCAATATATCCCTCTATGTTCCGAATCTAAAATATATATTAAGTACTATCTCAGTAATTGGTCATTTTTCAAAAAGCTATAATTTATTTAAAATAAGAATTAGATTAATCATTTCATTTGTTAAATTATGAGTTCTATTAATAAACAATATTATTTAATTATAATATTTAACTAAAAGTATAGTGTTTATAATTATATTACATTATTCATTATGAATATAATTGCTTTGAAATTATTGACAAAAAAGGTTGGCTGTGGTCTTGTTACATTAACAAATCTTTAGATTTTTTTTTAAATTTGTATGGTTAATTATTTCTTTAACTAATTTTTATTTAGTTACACACAAAATGGTTTGTTAAATATGTTAGATAGAAATCGAAGGATAAAGCAACATCCAGAAAGATTTCAAGAGTGTAGCGATCAATTTACCGTAGTCATTACTTGTGAAGAAAGAGTATATGATCAAGTACTCGAATGTATGTTAATATTAACAATTTAATCAATATAAGGTAAACTAATTGTATCATTATATTTTTGTGTTAAGATTTTGAAAGTATTCAAAACTTTGGCAATAAGCCAGTGCATCTTGTCAATATTGATATTCAAGATAATCACGAGGAAGCAACTCTTGGAGCTTTTCTCATTTGCGAATTAGTGTCATTGGTGAGATAATAAAATCAAATATTAATATAATTTACTTTATTTAGTAGTATGTATTTAATTATTTCATATTTAGTAGTTACTATAATTGACTATTTATTTCAAATTTTCATTTTTATGTAGTGATGTTGAGTTTTATTTAGTTTCTATCTAACTTTAACCAAATGGAGTTAAACCATTTAGTCTTTGAAAATATAATAAGGACTATTTGGCTTGGAAATTAATTCAAATCAATTTACAGTATCTCAAATAACTGTGCTTTAAAGTTATTATTTTTATAAATACATAAAATAATTTATCATTTAATTTTAGAATTGGTCTATTATGTTGATTAATTAAAATGATTATTCAAGTTTGTTTAATGTGATCACAGTGGCGGCTTTGATAGGATATGTATGACCAGTGTTATCATTATAATTTTAACACCATTGAAGTAACACTGCATATATTAACTACTACCAATTCTATGATACACTGTTAGTTAGTAATATTAATTTTCTGATTGATAAAAATCTTTATGCCCCCACTGTTATTTTTATCATTTTTAATATATTTGTCAATATGTTTGAAATTACCAGGATTTTTCATATTTATTATATTTTATTAAATAAAATAAAATATATATTATATATATTATTACTATGTTTCTAAATATTGTATTATTATTTATTAAATATTATATTTAGTATTTTATGTACTTTATTGATTTCTTTAAAAGTTAAAAAATTTATCTATTTCAACAAGTTTTGAAATAACATTATTTATCCCTAACTAGATTTTGTGAAATATAATTTTTTTTTTTTGTCAAATACCTTTCCTTTTTAACATCTATTGATATTAACCAATTGTATTTTAATATTTTTTCTTTTTCTTTTAGTTTGCCAGAAGTGAAGATCTAGATAATGATATTGATCAACTACTTGTTAAATACGAAGAAAAATGTCAACGGCCAATTTTTCACTGTGTACTTTTCTATTAAAAAAAAATTGAAACTGTTTTTGCTTTGTGAAAACATCATATTAATTAAAAGTATTTGTATATTATAAATATGATATAAGGTTTAATATTTAGTTAATAATAAAATTTCATATTTGTAAGTTTTTAATTTATTTATTTAAATTTTTTTATTTTTTTCTAATTAATAATTTTTATTTTATAGATAGAAATATATAGGATTGTAATACTACATTCCTAGTGAAATTACTTTTAAAGAACATCACTATCATAATAAGCTGGAGCAAAACCATATGTTCCTTTGCTCCACTCAGAATCTACAATTATATTACTTACGTTAACAATTATCATATTATAAGTACTGATGATGATGTTTTACTTGGGTAGCAATTAAAATTTGTTAAAAACTGATATGTTTCAATATAATAAAATATTAAATAAAAATGTCTGATTATAAAATTAATATGTCTAATAATGTTTACTTTTGATTGACTTTACCTCAGGGGGACATATTATGCTATAGGTTTAAGAAATTCTGGCCCCCGCTCCACTACTGGTGGCAAGCTCAGCTGGGTATTTCCAGTAGGTATATGGTATTTTTTCTATAGGGTGACAAAATTTATATTATAGTTCACAATACCAATCTCCCTGTGGGAGGAGATCAAAATACTCTCATGGTACCTCTACCTGGTTTATTAGGCATCAAATAGGATTGTGTCAGGTTGACAGTTGGTGTAAAATTCTATCAAATAGTGGAAGTTTTAAATAAAACTGGTAGGTTTTTTTTATCGTGGATGTGTATTGGGACAACATATGAGGGAGGTCCATGGTGCACGATGTTTATAAATGATATATCTTTGATAGGAGAAAATCAGGAATAAGTTAACAACAGACTTGAGGAATGGAGAGTAGCACTTGAAAGAATACGACTAAAGATAAGTAGAAGTTAAACAGAGTACCTATGCATTTGGAGGAATAGGACAAAATAGTCAACAACATTAATTGGTAATAGGCGAGGTTGGGAGTTTTAAGTACCTAGGAATATAATCCGGTCTGGATTCTAATTCGATCTCAATTCGTGATTCGCGATCGTAACGGACATAACAATCAACTCTGGACCCAGAAAAGCGTGTCCCCCGACACGAAGCGTGTTCCGCGAAAATCCAAGTGCGCCCCTCAATGTATGTACCGAATTTAATATTGTATGTATTCGTTATTAATG